CCAAACTATATACGCCTGCGAATATGGCTGTTGCTTTACCTGTTAATTGAACTTTTTCATGTTGAATCAAATGGCTGCCTTTAAGATACAACTAATACTATAACCGTGTTACAGTATCTGACCTTGGAAGTCATGACACTTTGTCGGCAGTAAGCGAACTGTGTTGAACTGCAATTCACCTGACAAATTTTCCCAAAAACCCATGATGGAATAAAATTCTCTAAAAAAATCTGAAATAACGATTTTTTCGCAAAAAATTGACTATTTTTACATTGGTTTTAGGCTAAATAAAAAAAATATTTCACGTCTGATGTAATTTGTATATTCTATATTTACTTTATAGCCTCTATTTCATTATTTAATAATTCTCATTTTCAGAGCAAAAACATCTCTATATATTATGTGCCAGAAATGTGTTTTTATCGGGTACGCCATAACTTCCATAATTCTTCATCAAATTAACGATTCCCATACCATTTTAAAGCTTATGTTTGCCACTATAAACATAGAATAATTATATTATATAAACAAGTAGAGTTATGTTAATCTTTTCAGAAAAAATATGGTTAAACATCAATCATACAGAATTATGATAATGCCATCTATTGACAATTTATTTAAACGAAATAGTGAATAACAATTTCGCATGCAGTCAACTAGTTTTAATTTATTACACATTCTATAAGCTTTATAAACCTTACTTTAATTTTAAAGTTAATGTTAAATACATGAAATAGGACAGTGACCTTAATCGGTTCGCATAAACAATTTATAAGGAAACGACTCGATAATTAAAAAAATAACTAACGAAATCTCGTATTTCTTCGCGTTGTTCAAAATAAGCGACAGATGCGCGACAAGCGAAAACGCGTTCAAGTTAATCCAGTGCCAATCGGCTTTTACTTTCGATGAGGTTGCGCCCGAGGCAACTTCCGCAAGCGAAAGTGCTTTCGTTGACGTTAATATTTTCGTTGTCGATAATATCTTTTCCCTTTGGAATATCAAGTTCCTAATTCAAGTGACTTGCGTGTTATTAACCGATCTTTATGTTTCATTATTTATATGCGCTTGCCTAACTTTAAAGTTAAAATAGATATTGAAATGTTTTTCAAATTATCTCGAAAAGTTTATTCTGAATCAGAAAATTTTGATCGTATTGAATTCTTAGAAAGTTATAAAGCTAAGAGGTTGAGTGCATGTTTTGAATTAAATTTTTAAATTAAATCGAAACGCTTTGCTGGTGATATATATGAGTCGTTTCTCTGACTATTAAATCAATTAAATATAATTATTTGTAACTATTCCGGACCATGGTTAGTAAATTCTTCTTGTAGTTTTCTTCAATTACTTTTTTTCAAAGTCGTAAACTAGAGATGTCTTTAATTAAATAGAAAATCCTTTCAATTTACAAGTTCTAATACTGGTTTTGATAAGTATACGAAGTAACATCATCCCTTATGTCTAGCATGGTTTAAGTAATTTTCGTTATTGCCCTTAAAACTTTAAGTTAAATTATTTACTTGTCTTAGGAAAGGCTTCTATATTATCAGATCGGAACATTTCAATTAGCATAGAGATGTTCGAATATCGTCGGTCCAACGAACCATTTTTAAACTGTTCACACGTTTCCGAAATTTCACCGAATCGCCAGGGCCGTTACAATTAGACAAACAACCGGCTATCGCGTACGTTATTAATCGAAATCGCCGACAATTTGCATGCCATAGTTGCTATTACACTGGGCCGTTCGTGACTGTAACGGTTAATCAAAACGGTTGGTACATAATAGTTAAAGATAACGGAACAGATTCGCATTATCGCGCCCACTATTCCGAGGCATTGCATTATAGGACACTGCCTTTACTTCATACGATCGACCCTGGCGCTACAAGATCGTTCAAACCATTACGGTTTTGAATACTTTTTAATAGACAGATTGCGCTAATATGACAGTAGCAAAGTTTCTGAGTGTTTATTCTTAGTTTAAAAAGCAACATCCCGACGGATACGAATGAAACAGATTGGAAACCAAATATCTTACAAGAATTATAAATTCACCTAATTTAATAATACTCGAAAGCTGTATAAATTAATAAATTTAACAAAAACCCCGACTGCATTAAAAACACTCACAATAACTGTATTTTTTAAATGAAACTAACGACTAGAAATCTGTCAGGAGGTTTCGCCTATACACTGGACCAAAGAGTAAGATATACAATATATACTTACACTCGAAAAACATTATCCATCGGCAGTCGGATAACAATACTATTATTTACAACTCGAACGAGGTCAAGGGTTAGGCTAGTAAAGCATACGCGGTCGCGTAATCCATTCAAATCAACAGCTATTTTAATAATTAGGCTAGTTTCGAAACGTTATTAATAATCGGTAACGATAAAACCGCTCTCTTCGTGCAGACACTCACAAACACATATTCGCAATAAACAAATAAACGATGGTATTAATATATTAGCGGTTTTAGCGCCGTTACGCCATCTAATGTAATAGAATAACCCTATTGCGTCGATTCAAACACGAATAACTATGCATATACCCGAATATGATAATCGATTTGTGAACAAGCAAATACAACATGCAATAACGTTCATTTAGAGTTAATCAAGGGTGCTTTTAAAACCATATATTGATATAAGTGGCTGTATTTATGATAAATTATCAACTGGACGCCAAAATATCCTTAAATTTGTCACATTGTAACCATCGGATGCATTCGCTGATACAAAAACGACGACGGGATTAGTATGATCAGTTAAGAAAATCGTAATTTTTGTCGCTGGCCGGACTTTAAATCGCTTAAAGCTGGCCGTTTACCAAGCGCGTAGAAAAAGCTAACGCTCGATTCTCGAACGAGCCGTGGGCGCCACGCGCGGAGTCGACACAGTAGCGATTGGCCGCGCCGCAAGTCACGCGTCAAGGCTGCCGCTCACCGCTCGCCGGGCGCGCCAGTTCGACGACCGATCGATACGTACGGCAGATTGATTTGTTCTCGAATCACCTATCGTCTCAGAATGGGGCACAGGCTTTATAAATCAACCGGCTTCCTAGTTCCGAGATTATCATGATAAATTCACGTGTGAAGTTCGTTTCACATCCAAATTTACGAAACTGCAATTGCTGAAACTCGTAACTGACACTTTGCACGCACCGGTTGTGTGTTGAACTTGTAACAGTAATAAAAAGGTTTCCATTGGCAAACAATCTTTAAGCGTTTAATGAAAGGCTAAACGAGTTTTATTGCATTAATCTCATATTTAACGTTTCAACATCAAATACTATATATATGAATATTTATATGCTCATAAAATATAATTCTTTTTTATTGTATTTAAGCGCGAATCAGTCAATCAAATATATTGTATGTATAGTACATGTTCTAAAATATATGAGCAAGAATTTTTTTTACCTAAAAACTGGCCAGTGCTTGACTACTATTTCACCTGATTGTTAGTAAATATGTAATCTTGGATGATAAATTCATTACATCAGTAACAACCTCAACACTAACAACTAACACTCACATTATAATTGGACGGGAAAACTGAAACAAATTTACTTCGCTGCAAATTGTTCAACTAATTTACTTCGCTAAGGTAATCTGTTTGCTCTAACCGAGAATTGATAAGCCACCCACTAAACCTACGTACAGAAGAACACTTCACACCTATTCCATTTTCCCCAACATCGAAAACATTAAAATTCCTAAAGCGATTAGAAAATCCATGGATAAACTTTCGATTGTACGGTAATCGCTTACGAAGCCATGGACGATCGGCTAGGGGGGCTATTAGAAAACTCGACGCCCGCGAACCGACGCTTTGTGAATCCGATAGAAAACAATCGGTAGCGCCGGCGGGTATCGAAGGAATGACAATGAGAGCGCGGAGCAGACGGTTCTCAGGGCGAAGCGACGAACGGTTTCGAGAAAACGATATCCCGGTACCGCACGCGGTCGCAATGCCGATCAATGACGGATTCCTCACGCGTCAAACTCTAATTTGTGACATGTGAATCGAATAGCGGAAACTTGCTTCTGAATGTCGAATTAGTACGTTTACTCGGAAATTACGTAAGCAAATCTATCTTTACTTGGATATATATGTTAAGGATTTCGTTTTATAACTAGTGACTACGCCTGCAAATTTTTCAAAGTTGGTAGCAAATAAAGATTTAAATTCACACTGTAACGCACCGTTCTAGCTTGAGATATGATTTAAAATTTCTTAAACGGACGCAGCACGTCAGGTGGACGCCGAGATAAATATTCTTCTTAACGACGTTAATGTCAGAAAGCTTGTCCATAAACTAAACATGAATATAAATTATAAAGACGATAAAAGCAAACACGCTTCTCCCATTCTTTTACCTGTGGTTCGGATGTGCTTAACTTACTTCTGAATGTGTCTTTGATACATGTATCTTTGAATGTGTCTAGAATATGCTAAATATATACACATATACACTTGTATAAAATGTACATACGTATAATGTATTAAACTTAACACACTCACAGAATGTATAAAAATTAACTCGAACGTAAGGTAAAACATCAAGAATACACGAAACAATTAATGTTAACAATGATTGAGGGTCACGCAATGACATCTGAACAAGTGTCAAGTCATCCTACAGTTCACTATAATCTTAGCGTCAATTCATAATGGCACGTCTATAACGTACTTAAATGGAAAGACCGGCAAAGTTTTACAAGTAGATATCGAAAGATTGTATTTTATTTCGTATGTACATTTTACACATTAGAAAAAAAGACATTATTTGTCATGCGTTAGTCACTTTGTAACAAATGGCTTTTACGGTATTTTGTTTTTTACATGGGGTTTTACCTACCTTAAGTTATTCTTAATTCGTTTGGCACCGTTCCAAAGTATGCAGAAATCACATAAAAATATATGGTCCGCGTGCCTTGAATACAACGTTTTGTCGATGTTGCTTATGTTATTTCTCTATCTTTGCAGAATTGGCTTGTGCGGCTTTGATAATCCACTGAGAGACCCGAAGACAGAAGAAGTGAAGAAACACATAGGACAGGTACGATTGTTAATGTAATATTTTTAAAAGATCTTTAAAACGAGCTAACCAGTGATAGCTGAGTGAGTGACAATGATTTTGTATTGAAGAAAATAGGAAGCTCTCAGTCCCACCCCCGATCTGAGATCGTGTATCAATGTCCCGAATCCCTAGGCCGCACGTTCGTTTCGTTTTACACATGAAAAAAAAAATAACAAGTCAATGAAGCTTGATTTAAATGTCGAATGGCAGACCCCTGTTCTATTTACAATTTTATTGGAAGCCAGTCAGTAAAAATTAGATTGTTAATTAAAAATGTGTATTTATATACTTATTACTATATTTGTAATCCCCCACTGATCAAAACCCGACTGTTTTAATTTATTTTATATGATGTATGTATTTGTAATTTGATCTTTCTGCGCTGCGTTTCCATATACTCTCTGTACTATGTTTCCATATACTCACACCGCTGTATGCGATTTTCTTAAAAGGGGATAGCATATTTTCCATGTATTTGTATAGCCTATATTTATACCATATCTGGGCAAATGAACCTCAACCTCCTTTTCTACAAATTTTTTTCCTTAATAATAATATATCGTTTAATAATATGTCCTAATGTATTCCATTAGGACATATTATTAAACCATGAGACACCACTGCGGATTGGCAGACTTCACATAGCTTATATAATTTGGAATATGCAGGTATTTCTCACGATTTTTCTTTCGCTGAGCACGTGATAAACAGTTGAACTTGCAAGTAACAATTTCGTTGGTGGCACCACTGAATTTGAACTTGGCTTCCTTGAGTATTCTTAATTAAAAGAGAGTGCGAGGACACTGAGCTATCACAGCCATATGTAATTATAAATTCAGATATTGGATTACATATGGATCAAAAAAAGACGTTATTTACTTTGTAAAACTGTTTTTTAATGCTTTTATTATTTGAATAACGTTACCACAATCAGGATAAGCAGTCTCAGTAGATTTCATCAGGTCCGACGCGTTGAGAACTGTTCAGTTTTTCAATAATAACTTTAGCGCTTACATCCAAATGGAGGTTCCTTATCAATACGGATAATTACTTAAAATTCGCAGTTAAAATTACATAATTACTCAAAGATGCTAAGCAAGTCTATGCAATATGAAACGATGCAAATGGATACTAAGTGCTATTAGCCCTAATGACTCCTTTGGCGAGTCTCACGGTTACGGCAGCACGTAGATTGATGTCACCAATACAAAAAAAGCGATGGCTGAGAATGTATAAATTGCTACCGAACTACGCACAGACTGTGCAAAACACATTGCGGCTTCGGGTTTTTTTCAAACGTGCTATATTGGTATTTTGTTTGCACTAGCCCTCTAACCGATGTTGAATTATGCTACCATAAAGACACTGTTCATGTTATTTTCTTTAGTTGATGTTAGAAATCTTAAACATCAATCATACGGATTGTCTTAGGAATTTTTTTGTTCTTCTTATCACTACGGTCATCTTATATTTAGGGCGCGACAAGTTTTGAATCGAAAACTAGGAACTTTTTACAAGGGAAAAAGTCTTTAGCCAAGATTGGGCTCGACTATGCTAAAGGATATAAACTAAATCCATAAATTATGTAGAGTTAACTTCCGTTATAATTTTAAATTACGTTTATCGAGACAAAACCCTTTCCGTTTTGCAAAAAATTGTTGACATCTTTAGATCTTTAGATCTCCATAGAGTCCGTGGTCGAAAACAAAAAACTACAACAAAATTGCACTAAGTAAACGAAGCAGATCTTTATTGTTCAAATAAAACAGGCTTGATAAATGATTGATAATCATGATGTGGCTTTGTCACCTCGGATCATAATTGAGCTGACGATATAACGCAGACGTATATCACCGCCGTCGTTATGTTATCTGTGACTAAACCGCCCGCCGGTTTCTTCGCGTACTCATTAGCCGCGCTCTGTCGAACCGTTGGCATTCGAAACGGAGCCGCGACAATTAACTACGTATGTTTCATTAACGTTGCTAAACTTCCCGCTGCCCACGGTAAGCCCCGAGCCAGTAGTAAGCACGTAAACGGACAAAAACTCGATTTACATTCGTGCGCACGTGATCGCGAACGCCGAAAAGGAAGTCAAAGTTACAGATGTTTATGAACGTGTAATCCTGTTAGACTACACGTGGTTAAAACTTTCGGCGGTTGTATTTTTTAAGACAATAAATAGAAAAAAATGGTCAATTGTAACAATAGGATTTAGATCAGTGAAACAAAATGTAGGAAGAAAACGGAACGGAGGGAAAGATTAATTATTTGTTGTTAACAATCTTATTTAACTTATGATTATTGTTTGCTTTTATTGCTAGTCTGAAGTTAAATTTAAAACTTATTTAAAACATTGATTAAGTATAGCTGCATTTCGATGATGCATTCAGATTTAGAATAGAAATCATCTTCATTTTCACACTCTGCAGTGGACCTGATTGTGAAGAAAGCACTTTGAGCAAATAATTTTATAAGATCCTCGCAAATATCAGTTATTTGCTTATCTCTAAAGATTGAATGGGAAAAATGAACTATTTAACTCCTTGCTTATAAGCAAAAGCTTTGTCAGCGCTTACTAAAGTGTGCACGTTAAGGATATGAAACAATTCCGAACCGACAATTTGGAGAGTTGTAGAGGTCGATGATGTCATAGGTCAAATTATAGCGGATCCCATTGTATTGTGGCACGCCTTTGTCACGTCATATATCAAAATCGAATTGAGAAAAAAAAAACCCGTGTTCATCAAATCGGCGGCCTCGTAGTTGACGTTTCAATAAGGATATAAATGTATGACATCAAAAATAACGTCAATAGTAGGCCGATTAACAGAGTACGAACCGAGGGATTAACTGTTTCATTTCTACAGTAACTTAATGCTTTTTTTTTTTATGTGAAAAGTTGCCAAACGAGCAGACGGTTCACCTGATGGTAAGTGAATACCCGCCGCCCATGGACATCTGCTACACCCGAGGGTTACAGATGCGTTGACTACCTTTTGAAAATTGGGCTCCGGCTACCTCACTCACCAGACGAAACGTGAAAGAATTTGTCATACTTCTACTTTACGCTAGTCTTCTGTGAGATCGTGGTACTTACCCGGACGGGCCTGCCCATTCGTGCAACAGCCGAGGCTGTTGCGAGGCCCTACCACCGTAGAATAAGTTTAAAAAATGGCTTATCGTTGCCTTGTAATCATTTCCTTATCATATTAAATAACTTGTAAAATACAATTCATAACGTTACGGGTGTTAAACACTACATATCCTCACATCAGTTTAATAATACTAAATTAAATGCATTAAAATAATTTTAAAACCAAGTAGCCGTTAAGCAAAACCTAAGGAAACCTGAATATTATAGAAAAACAAAATTAAAAAAATACTCGGATATTCTCAAACCAGAGGAACAGTAGCATATAGTAATGAAAAAGGGCATATAATTCGAAAGACATAAATTATTTTATCAATTTCAATTTAACAGATTTCAATAAAAAGTATTCAACTTAGCATAAGATCATCCTAGGCTCTTACATAATTTATACTATTATATTCTATAATTTATTTTACCTTAAATAAAATGAACATAAGCTATCCCATGTGTATAGACTTATGTGGGCTGTTACTTAACTCTTTTTAGCTATTAAAAGTGTTCAAATAAATATTCTATTGACAAGGTTTAATTAAAACGAATTTTATGTCCAATCAGGGCGTTAAAATCAAGATGGACGACGCCGGTAACATACTCATCAGACGCTACTCCAAGAGTAGTGTGTTTGTGAAGAGTACAGCAGCCACAAACAACGAAGAGACGGCGATAGGTCAGGACATCATGAAGCTACCTGGCTACTCGTTGGAACAAGAAAAAATATTTAAGGTGAGACGAATTACATTTTTTAATAACTTCTTTTAGTCCGTAGTAAATAAGTATTGGTAGGATAAATTTACATTTTTTTTTAATTTGTTTTGCTGTCGTCCGTTGTGAATAATTATTGTAAAGGTTCTTGTTAACCTTTGTCCTTTTTCTCTAAAAGGCTAGCAAATGTAACACAAAGCCGTTTGTTGTTTAGTCAAAGTCTTATACTTGAAACAGATTTATTACATAATGTAAAATTTGTTTTTGGAGATATAAGTGTATTGTAGCGATAGATAGGAAAGTGAATGTTTTTATAACATTTTGATTACGTTCATTTTTGTCAAAGCATTTACGTGTTTTCAATTCCAAATTACATTGCGCTGCGCCGAGATTTCATAGTAAGGAAAGTTGAGAGCCGTCTAAACACAAGATGGCTATTAACTTTGGACCGGCGAACCGAAATGGGTGTAGCCACTAATAATTTCCGTAAAGACTTAGGCGCATATGTGTGACGAAACCTGGTCTATTAATTTCTCAGTGGCTCTCGTAATAACACGAGCCGCTTAACAGCCGTCGGTAATTTAAATATGACGATGTTTTCAATGAGGAAGTTATAGTTACCTTGCCTATGGCTACGTTCCAAATTATAAGTAACGTTATTTTTATAGAGTCTTTGTAAACATTCACTGGAAAACATGAACGCAACGGTTATTGGGTATTGATCGGTGATACATCTCCATCACGTTCGATCCGTTTCCTCTGCATTCGTTGTGTGTGATCTGATCAGGGCTGCTTGACGAGCGTGCTGCTAATGCGAATTGGTTATAATTTTACAGCGGCGTAAAATATCAAAATGTGTTTATGTTTGCAAACGAAGGGAACATTTGGAAACAAATGGAAAATAAATTATAACGAAAGTAACTATTTTAAAGAAGACGATGGCAAACAAGCTGATGATGTCTGTTTAATACCGCCGCCTGTCGACATATATATATATATATAATTCCACAGACCAAGGCTTGCGGATGCATTGTCAACCTTATAGTGGCTTCAGTTACTTTTCAAACGGACGAAACACGACATAAATACTTCTACTTTACGTCGATCTGTGATGTCATAGTACTTCCCATAACGCGCCTGCTCTTACATGAAGCAGCAGAAGCACCTACGCAGCCTTAGCACAGTAAAGATTTTAAGGCGCCGGCCTCTTAAATTTAGGCATCTTCGCTGAAAGAGCTTGCTAATTTTCTAATCGTTTCAATCACTAAACCATTGTACATATTCTTGAAATTATTCTAGTTGTTGTATGTTTTTAAACAAAATGGTGACTTAATGACTCATCTTGAGTGGGATGCGGTTAACAGTGATCAAATGTTTCGTAATATATGACCTACGTGGTCTCATGACCGATAATTTTAGTTATTATTTAGCACAGGTTAAATTAAAAATGCTAGCATGACATTATAATGTTTTTTGGTCTTCAATTAGAGATGCTCTCACAACTATTATATCTCAGCAACACATTAGCGGTTAAGACAATAATATGTGTAGGGCTTCAACCGGCCCGAGCATTACTCTTAATGCGCGATGCATTGTACGCCTCAGCGGTAATTCCTTTGCCATCACGACTCCCAACATTCGAACACGATTCACTCTTTGACCGTGACATTGCCACATAATTTCATTTCAGTTGACGCCGTTACGAAATCACCAAATTGTCCGGCGGCGTTCATTTTTGATTGGCCCAATCGACGTCATGATTTTCTCCACGGCTTTGTTTCTTCTTTTACTTAGCCTGACTTTTGCATTGATAGCGACAATGTTATCGTTCTTTGTGATTTTATTCAGCCGAATTACTAATTTATCAGTAGTTTTATGCTTGCCATCATTCTTATATCACCAATGTGCGGTCGACACAACATGTGAATCATGTTGTAAGTAGTTTTGGCTAGGTTTTTTACGTCCGCCCTTCTGCCTGACGTCAACCCTCCTTGGGAAAAGGCACTCAGATTCGGATAAATTATGTGTGGGTCACACAAATACTTGTCCCGTTTGGGAATCGAACAACTAGCAACTATGCCACCGAATTTATCCTTGTAAGGACCTTAAAATTCTTTTCTGCATGAAAACATGTAGTAAGTTTATCCTTCTTTCCTCAAAAGTGAAGGGCGTGCCTCCTCCAATTCGAGTGCCAAGTCCAAGATCGCTTTGTCTCTAATCATGCTATGTCATCATTTAGGTCCATGTGTATATACTTCGCAACGTACTAGGAAACAGTCGGAATTAATCAGGTCGTATCAAACAATACGAAATCGGTTTCCTAGTGTACAGCACAACAGAAGATTCGTTAGTAATTCATACACCATTAACTGCCAGGCTTTACGTAAGCGGTAGCCGCAAACAATGCGAGAAGATAGTGCTATTAAGCAAGAGAAAGAATGGTCATTGCCTCACTTATTCTATTCGGATCTTGTGCCGTTTCCTTGAGAGCAACGAAAGCGACTACGCGGATGCCGAAGTGCGTATTGTCTGTAGCCTAGATATTGTAACAATTCGTTAGGGCACAACACAACTCTGAAGTATTTAATGTAAACAAACACTTTGGCGTAAACTCAAATCAGAAATCTATAAGTAGTTCTTTTTCTATATATAGTTTCTATATATTTCTATTTATAGTTATATATAGTGTCTTAGTTTTCTACAATCACGTAAATAGCGACCATGAAATGTGTCGCTCTACTTTAGAATTATATCATATTTATAAATAGAACCAGTCGGGCCGTTGTCGTGGGTCAATATTTCTAAGAGCGCATTAATAAATTCTAGACAATACGCGTGTTGAAACACCTGATCGCTGGGGATTTTTTCGTGCGATACTTTTCCGCTCCCACGTTGGGTTCCTTTGGGTGGGAATTGATGGAAAACAATGTTGTCTTCTTCATCTATGTCACCCAGTGTAAAGTTTATAAGTCCATCTGATACGCCCTCGTTTTCTTAAAACAATCCTTATTAGATTAATGGCTTAGGGCCATTTGCGTGTGAATGAGAAAAGAACTAATTCAATCCTTTGAAAAAAAGATAAATTTGTACATAGAGAGCGTACCATGTAGAATACTCGGACAGTTTATTAAGTATTTAAATACAATTCTTATGTATATATCTCTTATTAGGAAACCATTGCTACCAGCAAATTTATAATATTCTCATTAATACTCCTCTTGTTTCATAAACCCCACCTCAATAGCCGAAGTTCCGAGAACGGTTTCAATTAAAGCGCGCTACCAACACCCGCATGGGCTTTTAATTAAACAATAGTAATTTGCCCGGGGCATTAATAATCGAAATTCCCCATAAAACACATCTGTTACTCCACCGAAAGCCCCTCCGATGAATTAGAGATACTGCGCGGCAATTTTTCTGTAGATAGCATCAACATCTCTTTCCGCTTGGGCCGATGTCTTGTCGGGTTCGGTCGGACGTCTTGATGCAACTGACCGCGGTGTAAGAAGATGTTCAATGGTTGTGTAATGATGGTGCAGCCCTTTCAATTTATCGGATACCTCCGATGACATATTCAGCGTTTGGGTTCCGTGTCCCATTATTACCTATCACTAGTTGTATTAAATAGCGGATAACGTACATGCGTACATGACGCATGTACCTTATCCGCTATTTAGTATAATTATGTACGCATGTGTACATGCGTACATGACGGAGACGGATGATCTGCTATCAATTGAATTGCGCTTATACACTTAATACGTTACGTTTATACGCTTATTACGTTATAAATAATATTTATTTTATTTGAAGTATTATTAAGTGAAGTAACAACTCTTCATGAAGGAATTTGAATGTTCATAATTTGTTTGTTAGAAATCGGATATTTATTTTCGCATTTATTAACGCGGCAAAAATCATGTCTGTTGTATGGGAGACCCACTTAAATATTTTTAACAGAAATACATCATCTGTGGAAGTTTCAACTGTCTAACTACCACGGTTCATGAGATACGGTCTCGTGACAGACGGACAGACAGACAGACAGCGCAGGCCTAATAATAGGGTCCCGTTTTAACCCAAAGTATGGAATCCTAAAAACTACCTCCTGTAAACTGAATCATTGTCTAAAAAATAATATTTGTATTTCAAACTTCACAACTTTTAAAATTTAAAAGCTGTAAAAATTGCGTCTACCCGTATTGTGTAACGACATGTATATTAATAGATGTTTCGTTCTCGACTCACTAATGATAAAGTACACAATGAACACGGGGAACGTTTGAAAAGGCGATTGTTTTATTAGTAATGACGGCGGCTCAGTTTTGTGAAATTAGATTGATAACATCTGAGATTGAGTGAACAACTTCAATCTTTTGTTTGATCGGTTTCGTCTGGACTACATCGTAGTGAGTGAAAGTATTCTTAAAATGTAACATGTAAAATATGTATAATATATCCCTTGTCATATGTAGTACTAGTATGCAGTCTACTTTTCGCTTATAAGAGTTGGTATTCATCTGTTACTAATGTATTTTAAGTATTAGATCGGAATAATTAGGAATGAATAATACTATTGTCTGATTTTTTTTAATAAACATAACTATTTTAATGGAACATTTAGGACAATAAAAATGTCATTGAGTTTAACTTTCATAAGAGTATATGAAGCCTAAGAAAAAAAAATAATTTTAAATTGGACTTCCCCTTCGACACAAAATCGATTTGTTCGCTACCCTTACATCAGTAAAACGTCCTGACATTTTGTTCTCTTTCTTCAACGTATTAGATCCACCGATTTTGACCATGACCATGTGCAATATCTGAAATGTGTTAAGCCCGATGATCTGACGTTGGCGTTCCTCCGCAGCTGTTCGACATGAAAAAGTTCCAGTCCAACGTGAACCGGGAGCTCAGGCGTTCGTACCCGGACCGCAGGAGGCTGGAGACGCAGTGCCTTAGCGCCGTGGCCTTCGTCAAGTCGGACGCCGATCTCCTCGAGTGCCCCATCTGGGTGCTCGTCATCAACGTCGTCGCAATGGACATGCTCAAGTCCAAGCTGCCTCCAGGTAATTACACCTTTCATAGCTGCTGTGGTGGATGCCAGGTAGTGACGTCACGCCTGGATACCACCGTGGTTGGCCACGCAGCGATTCCCTTTGCATGAACGGATTCGTTGGATTACGGCTGGATTATAGAAAATGCGCGATAATAAAAAGTATTTACGTTTTTGAGTTTTAATCGGTAAATGAGGTGGGTAAAAGTAAAGTAAAGTAACAGCCTATACATGTCCCACTGCTGGGCAAAGGCCTCCTCTATGCAGAGGGTGTCAGGGCATAGTCTACCACGCGGCCCCACTGCGGATTGGCGGACTTCACATATCTTAGAAAAAATATTTTTTCTTTTGTTATTATTTCTAAAATATGCAGGTTTCCTCACTATGTTTTCCTTCACCGCGGAGCACGTGATAAGTCAGCACTTAAAGTTAAAAACTTCATTGGTGCCGGCACCGGGGATCGAACTCAGGTTGCTTGAGTATATTGAAATAAAGGCAAGCGCCCGGACACTGAGCTATCACGGCGATGAGGTGGGTACGTCCTTCGAACTGCGGCGGTCTATTTAAAAAAAATACATCGGTTCTGATGGTATGACATTTAAACATGTTCGGGACAGTCACTGTAAAGTAAAGTAACAGCCTATACATGTCCCACTGCTGGGCAAAGGCCTCCACTATACAGAGGGTATCATAGACCTCTATGGAGAGGGTAGCATAGTCCACCACGCGGCCCCACTGCGGATTGGCGGACTTCTCATATCTTCAATTTTTTTTTTCTTTTTGTTATTATTTTGAAAATATGCAGGTTTCATTACGATGTTTTCCTTCACCGGGGAGCACGTGATAAGTCAGCACTTAAAGTTAAAAACTTCATTGGTGCCGGCACCGGGGATCGAACTCAGGTTGCTCGAGTATATTGAATTAAAGGCGAGCGCCCACACACTATCACAGAGCTATCACGGCTCAGTGTCCAGGCAGTCACTGAGAGGAGTTGAAATTATTGGTAATTTCATTTATAGTTTTTTAATTGTTAATATATGCTTCTTCGAATAGTGTCAATATTCGAATGAAGAAGCATATATTAACAATTAAAAAACTATAAATACTAGGAACAAATATTCAACTAAAGTTCGCTGATCAAACTAAAACAATTTTTACAGTCAGCAGTTACTTCTATTTAAAAGTTATTTTGTAAATTAACTTAAAAACACAGTCATTATATAAATCGATTTTCAAATCATGGCAATCTAGACCACTACTGAGCCATGTCAGTGTCGCAATTGCCTATGTATACGAGGCTCGCTCTGCTAATGAGGATGTGGGGATATAAATTTTTTGTTCGTGTAGCTCAAAAATTCTCCACGGTAATTTTTAAATTTGTGCCGTGCTGTTACCATTTCGATTATCGCGGCGTGAGACCGTCAGGTACTATCAATTTTAGACATATTCTGTCAGTGTGTAATTACAGGCTATTTAACGAACAGGAAAAAAAGTATGATATTTTCATACCGTAATCTATGCAGTGGTCTTATACATTTGGTGCCAGTATTTGCACCTCACTTTTTACGTATGCATTTATCACTTGTTTCGGAATAACGGGTTGTTTTAATTGCCCGAATTACATCATCATTCGTCGTTAATACCGACTTAAAAACATTTGCGTGAGAATGTTATTCCGAAACATCAAACAAGACTATTAATTATTATACAGAATCATTAATTAACTAACATTGCTGTGATATCATATCCAACTTTTAATACAAATGACTGAGTTTTTCATTGGGTGTAGTTAACAGTTCCTTTAACAATTTCATTTGCTCTCATATCTTTTGTTTCAGTAATAATAAGCGTAGCACGTTAAGACATAACTATAAATGTAAAAGTAAAGAAACAGCTTATATATGTTCCACACCTGGGCAGAGGCCTCCTCCGTACAAAGGGTATTAGGGCATAGTCCACCGCGTGACCCCACTGCGGATTGGCAGCCTTCATATACTTTCGAAAATTTTTTTTTCGTTATTATTCCAAAAACATGCAGGTTTCCTCACGGTTCCTTCACCACTGAGCACGCGATAAATTAGCACTTGTAATCAACAATTTCATTGGTGCCGGCACCGGGGATCGAGCTCAGGTTGCTTGAGTATATTGAGTTAAAGGCGAGCGCTCGGACAGTTAGCTTTCACGTCTGTTTTACAACATACCTAATAAAAAAAAACCGAATTCTTTAAGTACTAAATAATTTTAGTTCTTAGCTCTTTTTTTTTTCATAGTCTATAGTACTTGTATTTTATGAATGATGATAATGATATAATTAAGTAATAAACAGTTATTCATTCGCGTCACTTAGTCAGTTATTCTTACTTCTTCAGGCAGTAGAACTTTGTCATCATCCTCCTACCCTCAGCGCAATAGTGAATATTGTTGTTAGTTGTATTGGCTGGGTTTTTTACGACCGGCCACCTTCCTAACGTCAACCCTCTTTAGGAACAAACACCCAGATCCGGAACAATTATCTGCGAGTCAAACAAATGCTAGTACCGTTGGGAATCGAACCCACAACCCCCGGCGCTAATACCCAATAGCTTATCAACTGCGACACGGAGTGATGTCTGATAATAATTCAACATTTAAGATTCATTCAAAATCATCATCAGCGAGGTATCAAGACGTTTTTCAATCATTTGAGTCACTGATGGCAAACCTTTCTTAGTCACGCATTCTTAATCTGTGAGCTGAAACATGGCAATCATCATTAATGAGTTATAAGGAAATGTAATGTTTCCTTTTTACCTTGCTATGTCAGGTATATTAACACGAGAAGCTTAAATTTTTCTATAGTGCTAATCTCTGCACTTAAGATTGTAAAATTTATAGAAAAAGTACAAAATGATTGTCGCCGATGTAGGAATCGAACCCACGTCTTCGGCTTTCGCGGCCTAACGCTATAGCCACTAAGCTAAACGGCTGATTGCCACAACACACATTGAATGTGGAAAAAAAAATCGAATACTATATATATAAATTTAAGCCCTAAATACCCTAATACATAAAATAAAATGCAATAATTTCATAGATTATCAGAAACAAAACTAACTCTTAAACATTTTATTCCCACAGCCTACTTGTCCATATTAGTTTTGATTACCTTTTTGGTATAGTTACACGGAATAAATGAAATTGTTTATATAGCATAAACTCAACATCCATTATAAATTAATAATGTATCGATACAAAGCGCCTCACAGAGGATTCGTCAGTACCTTTTTGGTACTGACATCGCAATTACAAATCAGACAAGGATTCCTTCGTAATTTTTACAAACAAAAACTATGCAACTTCCGCACTAAAAACGCCACGTCTCGAGTGTATACCGGCCCCTTCAGCTTATTAATAAATCATCACTGCTTTGTTGTCCATGATCTCCTCTGTCAGTTGGTTGATTAGTTCAGGTAATATTGGACCGCCGCTTAATTTTTCTCCAGGATTAATGACGTATGTAATGTATACCTCTAATGTTCTCAACGTATTGAATTAACATGAGTTTTTGCGTGATAATATAATCGAAATTGCTAACTCAAGTTTTTACGTGACGCATTGACATTTTATATTATTTTGATCCTCATTGTACCGTGTTAGCCGGCCTGATTTGTTAAGTTTCAAAGTGGTATTTCAAATATGCACTGCAGTTTTCCTTGTATACCTTAACTTGATTTCCTTAAGAGTTAAACGCTGTTAGGCCGCCTTATGAAATTATGTAGAGCCGTCGCATTTATATTCGAAACGATGCAAAAGGTTAGCGAGATCAGGAGATATATCCAAATGGAAGCGCCGGAGCGACACGGACGCACAATACGTGTCAAAGCGAATGAATCGCCTAACGCCGAGATCTCTGACAGAGACACAGTGCTCCACTAAAGACCCGCCAGCCCTATGGGAACGGGAAAAGATCCCATAATAATATCGCATCGTGAACAATATTTATCAAGGGACGCCTACGGACTTAATGTATGACGACGCTCATTGTATCCGTACGGCGATGTTACTCTCTTATCGACACGCGTGTCCCTTAGTCCGTCTCAATTCATATCGGCGAATGCATCGTCCATCGGCGTGTTATTCCAACATTTTTTCACCCGTAACTTCGCCAATTGTCGAAACATTACAAGGACTCTATCAAGCGCCAGTCACGCGTCATCAACGCCGCTGGTAATTAACATTGAATGGTGCTTCATGTACGGCTGTATTCATAAGCGAGTGCTGCCAGTGGCGGCGTTGCCAACAATGTTACAGTTACCTTGTCTCAGACCTCCGGACACCGCGGCATTATGCAACACAATGAGCCGACCTCTACACTTATCATTAAGAAACGCTAACGAATATATGAAATTAAATTTTATAATGCCCAGTTCTCACGCAGAACCGCAAATAGGCGTTTCGAGCGCAGCGACCTTGAGTCGAAGCTCTGAAGCGGGAGTGTATTTTTACGCAGTCAGCTACGGAACACTTTCCATATCGAGAGCGCATAAAAAAGTTTCCGCAAACGGGTAATGTTTCGATGCGACCTTAAGAGCAGGATCATCAACGCAAAATGTAATTGCAGTGTACCATGCAGAAGTGAACTGGTTTTTATGCGACCAAGGTGATCCGCCAGTCGCATTCGCCGTTTATCGGTTTCATTGTCCAGTCGAACACTTCCGGAACTAGGTCAGGCAGCTGAACGAAAATAATTCAACAGTGCCGCTTAAACTTTTTAAACTAGTGTTGTTACTGATATAAATAGCGCACCTGACTCAGTAGACTATGTTAATTGGCTTGCCCAGTTAAAATTTAATATTGGATCTTTGCACAGCTGCGGTTTCTTCAGCTGCTGTAGATCTGATGGTACAATGTAAAAATCATCTAGCATTAATTCCGCGGCAAATAGCATTGGCAAGTAATCCGTGCAATTTTATAACAAATTGCAAATCCGATTCAACTCCCATAGCGTCCGACCGCATCAACCATTCAGTCCCTCACTTCTCAGTAGTCTGCTTTATTGTTGTGCAACAATGCAATCCGCCTTCGATCTCATGATGTATTGCACCTCATTTCACTGAACACTACAAACACACAACTAGCTCTGTTCACTCACGCTTAGCAACTATCCAATAGTCTCATATTAGTCTAACACAAATCGTAATACGAAAATCAAATAAACCGCATAATCAGATTCCCTTGCATTCGTGTAAGATTCGTCCTTAGATTTTCTGTGGTGGTTTCGCGGTCGCTATTTATTGGCTGCGAAAATGAAATCTATCTGGGAAGTTATTCAATATTTTCTACACAGAACACTTGACTCTGCTGTTCTGTATTCAGTTTTGTTTTCAAAAACCTTTCACTTTAGCGGGTATTACAGCCACTTGGTTTTTGTTACACAGTTATTCGTATTAAACACGAACATCAATTAATTGTAGAAAATTTCTTTCCTCCTCGATATAGAACTGCTCCATATAGAACTTTAGAATTTGAAACATCTCGAACTGAGCGTTGGTAATGCATGAAGTGTATGTATCATAAATCTTGAAATGGTTTATAACCGTTCAGCAATTTTCGCGGCCGGGTTGGTAAATTTCGATTTCGTCGCGAAGGTCGCACCACGTGTTCGTGACTAACTGTGGCATAACTAGTTCACCGAGTCGAAATTAGCCATTTGGCTTTATCGCATTGCCGCAAAGTCCACTTTGAATTTGAAATGTTCGACAATTGAAACATTAGGGAGTTGGGCAAATCAGCGTCGTGACCGAAATTATGCGAAACAGCACGAGCTGATGATGATGGGGAGCACGCTGCGATCGATTTGAGCGAAATGATCTAGATGTTGCAATCCAGTAAATAAAGACCCGCGTCTAATTTAAGTACCATCTCCGACATTACCACACTTATTTGACGAGGCACTTTAAGTTTAGTGGCAAAGCTATAAAATAAGCCATTTAATAAACAATATAAAAATGCATTACAAATTACACAGTGAATAACTGTCTTATTAATTTACAAGCTGCCCGATCACCGAAGCAAATAAGTTTGCATAATTGTTTTGCTTAATTAATATAAAATAACTTATGTAACAAGACTTAATACACATTTAATGTGAGAAAGGTAAGATCTATCTATCCAATACACGTGTTTATAACTAACGATGAAAGCTTTAAATGAGGTTTATGGTAGTCTATTAAAAACCCTTAAAACAGACCAAGATCCGACCGATATTAGTATTCAGGTCATCGACAAACCTCATTTGCATTCTAAGCCCGTTCTTACTTCATTCCCGCAATTTTTTCAAGTCTCCTTTCAAGTCCAGATATGTGCGAGGTGATCACAAATCTCCCCTGTCAACGACAATCTAGCATCTAGGTGTGTTTTTTATTCTGACATTACCTCTCTGTTAGAAACATGAAAGCCGAAGGTTTTTGAACTTTCGAGATCTGTTGTTAAAAATCAAACATCGTACGCCTCGACGTAGTCATAGCGTAAGCCTTAGATTTCCATTGTTCGAATTACATTATAATTTGTAGATACAGAGGGGTAATATCCACTTTGTAACGATAATTGCCACTATTTTAATCACCGCTTTCAAAAAGGTCCGTGATAAAGCTTCGTCATGGCCTACTGCATCGTACGCTACGATTTCGATTTCCGCTCGATCATTCCACGTAATTTGAGCGAGCCTTTGGGCAAACAAACATTTTTTTCACCCATTATTATATGAAACTCCTAATGTAATCGATGTTGTCCATAATTATTATTAAAACAAAGAGCATGATCACTGGGCTACGCTGATACTAGATCCGTATTGTAATTATTTATCTCGTATGACCTTCTTGACTGTCCAAGCCTATGATTAGGCCAGGTTAGCTTTTTCGTGGAAGGAGCGGTTCATGATTAGGGAGTGTACACGCAACCTTTAGTGTCTCTAAACTAATGATCATAGGCGCCCGGAGTCGTGAAGAGAAGTGATAGGCGTTCGATCTCAGCATCACGACAAAACGTTCATGTCGCCGCGGTTTCGCAATACGAACTAAACGTTCACTATCGTTAAACGGTCCGTACGTCGATTATGGCGGTTCTCGCTGGTAACTATTATAATGCTAAACTAATACAAAATTACGTTAAAAATTAGGTCTGAAGAAGTGTTCTATATCTGTCATGTTTCTAATTTCCCATATCTTATTCGAGGGCTTGTTCACCATATCACCAGATTTTAGTAATGTATTTATTTACCGTAAACTCGCCCTCTCGCAGAATGTTCACTCTGGTTTTGAAAGGGGATAGTCCCGTGGTTCGCTGTTAAAGATGACACCAATATTGAACATTCGCTATTTATAAAAGACTTCAAAAGGAGGAGTTTCTCAATTCGACTGTATTTTTTTTTAAGTTTGTTACCTCAGAACTTTTGGCTGAGGGAACCGATTTTGACGATTTATTTTAAAGCTGCTTCCCATGTGGTGCCATATTAATTTAATTGGTATTTGAACTTGGGTTCCGGAGATACTTAGGGAAATTAATTATGAAATGAATGCAGATCGAGATATTTGCAGTCGGTTTCGTTAGTAGAAAAAAATGGTTATTTCAACAGTTCAAAGACCGCTGGACATCAAGAACAGACCGCGCATCCCGATCCCGGACGAGGATCCCTACAGCATCGCCAGCTCCAACGCCAACGGCTCGGGGTCCAGCGGCAGCTCCGGCGGCTACGGCCTCGGCAACGGCCACGGCAACGGCCTCGGAAACGGCCACGGGAACGGCCACGGCGTGGTCGCTGCCACGCGGGAGCAGCTGATGATGCAAATGGGGCAGAGGAGGGGCGACAAGCCGCCGAAGCTGCCACCGCGCGAGAACGGATACGGGCCCGCTGATATACCCAAGGTATGTGACCATGCGTAAGACAATAACCCCTGTAAATATGATGACCCAAAGGTCGAGATTTTTAGGAAGCAAACAAAGATAGATAATCTAAATACGCTAAACTCAGATTATCGCAAATTAAACTGTTGTTTATAAATTTTATATGTCACAATTGCCTAAAATTTTAAGTGCATACATATATGTATCTAATTGTAATTCACTCTTAATGTTATCTAAGTGATTTCGAAAGGGAACCTTAATTTATATGCACTTAGACGATAAAGCTTCTCGACGATTATCAATAATGAAATACAATTATAATTTTAAGAAAGGGAGCATAAAATGAATACGAATTATACTAACCTCAATAAATATTGTAATGGCCTTTTCGTTTAACGTTTCCAATAAAACTATTACACTTACATAAACATTGAGTCTACAAACAATAAAATTGCATTTGCGTTAGAATGAAAGGGAAAATTTCTTCACTATTTCTTTTTTATTTTCAATGTGGTTTCAATTTCTTAAAGCAATTTCCTTTGAGGTGAAAATTGCTCAACAAAATATATACAGCTTATCACAGAATTGTTTTACCTATTACAAAAAGAAAGAGAAGAAAAAAATAGAGAAAGCAATCATTATTGTGTTTGTCCTTCATGGTTGTGCTAATAAACATTGTAAAATGTACTGTAATTGTTAAATGTGAAGACAAAACAATTACATCAGACGAGACACACATAAATTCCGTTAATTCGTTTTATTATACAAGTAAAGAAAGATTTGTTAAACATTTTGAGACCTTATCTCTCACATTTTATTTCACTTCTAACAAATTATATTCTAATTTGCACCTATAATAAATCAAAAATAACTCACTAATCCGGGAAAATTACTAAGGTGACTCACTGCATGATTGAAATTGAAAGTGTGGGGCTTCATGAATTGCTATCTGAACAGAAATCCGACTGTCGCTTTAGTCCGAAGTAATATCGTCTGTCGAGGCGCTAACTAAATTAAGGCCGTGAATCAAGCCGGCCTTAATGGAAACACAATCCTGACCCCCAGACCGCAGAAGTCCCAAAATAAAAGGATCCCGTAAATGCATTATGTCGGAGATAAGGAGGCCGATATACGCAAAGTGATTTTGAATCAATGTCACCCGACATGACAAATGGGATCCATATGCCGCCACCTCACATTGCCAAAACCGTTCCATTAATCTTTATGAAGGGAAAATTCGATTAAGGAGTTAACATCAAATTTAAATCGACTTATAAACATAAGAAGCATAACACAGGTTTATGTTTTATACATTGCATTTCTCGGGGATCTATCGACTCTATGTTAATGCAAATGTGATCATTTAAATAAGGCTTTATAATTCAATTTCAGTGAATAAAACCTATTTATTTTTGATAATATAGTAGTTGTCATATTTAAATTAAATACCTACTAGAAAAATAATTACTTCACGGAACTTTTTGTCATTTTCTTTCCAAATGACACATGGATTCTTAGATATTTTTCCATAATCCGGAAGTATATTAAAGTCGTAAAAGTAAAATTTACAAATTTATTACAAACCTGGTTTGGCCCAGAACTAATGATAAACAGCTCAGCGATCAATTATTTGGTCGATTTATCATCATCATAGGCAAGTAGATCAAATACTATACTAAATATATATTTTAGTACTCATGCAAAAGTTTGTACAAGCGTTGTACGCTAAAAGTATATCGGTGAAAGTATGTGGGTAAGGCTTGAGTTTGTTTTTCATAAGTTCGAAATGAAAATCTCTAACGCGTTTCCATATTTACACTCTCCGTTGCACAATATCAATCAGTTTGTTTTTTATTCTTTTTCATATTCATTTTAAATTTTAGATCTTTATCTATATGATTACATCGTCAATCTTTGTATTGATTAAAAACGCACTCAGGTCTACAGTCATTTCTATATAATTGTTTTGTATTCCCTAATCCCTTGCAACATACATACTGATTTTCTTTAGTTAACACATTCAATATACATATTTAAAATTTTCATTCCTTGTACGAAATGTACACTCACACTAAGAGCTTGTACGGTCCACCTACACAAATGTGAAATAAAACACGACACACACATAAATCGATTTTTTTTTGCTTTTAACAAAAGCTCACTATGTACATACATATTCCAAAACCGTAACTTATTTTTAATGTGTCGCTCGAACACAATGGTAATGCCCATATCGCCAACGCATCCGTGGTTTCACGACCGTTGAAGATAGATGGCGTTACACGCCCTTTATAGGTCGCACTCCATCTCTCTTTTACTGTTGATCCAAATAGTACGTAGCTTTAAAAGGTTGTAACCCTGACACTACACACATGACTTATGCGGTCCGCCTTCTCGCGCTGCACTTGTAAAATGCAATGTTCACTGGGTCCCGCGTTAAAAATAAACACTCCGTGGCTGGGTGGCGCGAATAATTTTAATCGGAAAGAGAAAACCTCATCTACAATATGAGTTTACCATCAACATTAGTTGTTGCTGGGCCAATATTTTTCGCTGCGGCGCGATAGCTTTCGCCCACTCAACCCTTTGTGATTGTTCTTTTAGAGCTTCTATACCATAACATCATTTTCCACCACATTCAGGCGGAGAAAAAAAAGTAAATCTGTAATGTGAGATACTGACGAAGATTATCGTAAATAGGATTCGTGCACTGCCCAGTATTTATATGAACTGAATGCTCCAAGTCTGGGTGTTTGCCTAATAAACGTTTGCAATTTTAAAGTGTTTATTTCACATATTAAGATAATTCTAATGTAGAAAATGGCTTCAGCTTAGTTATTCTCAGCCCTTATACACCACTCACAAGAAGCAACGTTTTCTTTGGGAATACGGTATTAGTATTTCAGTGGCGCGGCTTCTGTGCAAATGCTTACAGCAATATAGTCAGGGCGTTACCTGCTAGTAGCCGCTCACACGGAATAATACATCTTGGTCGTTGACATCATCTGATAACGTCCAGAAGGTAGCATTGTGCTCGAAATCGATCGCGAGACCGTATCTTACACCACCTACCTTAGATAAACGAAATAAAATCGGACATCTAAATAAAAAATTGAACAATTTCCTCCTTAAAGGTCGAAACAAGAAATTATTAACATCGTTGAATTTCGACGTCATTGCATTTTATCGTTTTGATTTATTTTGCAGCCGGACTACGATGACATCGATGTGAACGGGCGCGTACCGTCGCAGTTCCCAAGAGGCAAATCAGACAAAGGAAAGGACAACAAGAAATACGGTGAGTATCAGTACTGCTAGCACAGCAGCCGTTGTAAAAACTTAAGCTTACCGTATGCACGTTGTTGTTGTGTTGTCTATGGATGCGTGCATTACAATATATATATATATATATATATATATATATATATATATATATATACTAGCTGCTGCCCGCGACTACGTCTGCGTAGAGGTGTGAAAATTTAGGGTTATATGTATTTTTGTATGTTGTGTCATATAAAAATATAAACAAAAAGTTTTATATAAAAAATAAAAAAAAATTTAGGGGTGGACTACCCCCTTAACATTTAGGGAGACGAAAAATAGATAGTAGCCGATTCTCAGACCTACTGAATACGCATATAAAATTTGGTAAAAATCGGTCGAGCCGTTTCGGAAGAGTTCAAGTTCGAACCCCGTGACACGAGAATTTTATATATTAGATATATATATATATATATATATATATATATATATATATATATATATATATATATAGACATAATTCTGATGTGCAATTATTAAAGATATAGCTGCCAGCCAAGATTGTGATAGTTAAAAACACCAAATTTCTTATACTTGAGCAAAAAGTTATTTCTATTAAACACACACTACCGGACGACCTAAAAATTCTTATTCAAAAATTCTTAAAATTCTAATAACCACGATAAGAATTTTCCGGAGACCACACTTTCCATAAGAACACTTTGCAAGAAATAGTAGTCCAAAGAAAACTTTTTCTTTCGATGTTTAGTAGGTCAGCTTTCATATTGCGTAAACAAATTATTCATCGTCTAAAACGTAAATGCTAAATGATTAATATTAAGAACGTATCAATAATTGTCCCCGGACGGCGTTCGAATCTATGACTGGCAAATCGAATCCCTAAAGCCTATAGCGTAGCAACTTTGCCGAGAAATCAAACTAAGTTTAATCCCATTATTTCAAAATTCACACGTGGTAATACTAATTTTAAAATCAATTCGGCTCAATAAATAAAAGAAATAAAATGAGACAACATCACCAAGAATGCTAAGGTCGCCGGCTAGGATTTAAGAATAAATATACGTAGTTCTGCGATTTACGCAGGCTTTTAATTAAGAAACGAAATTACGGCCCCTTAAGAAACAAAGAGTGTGGTGGAAATAGCGAAAACAATTGTGCCGTTAATTACGCGAGTCCGGTAAACTTTATTAATCGACAGAGCCCGTAAAGATCCAACTTTCGCTCCAGCTTATAATTATAAATGCGATTCCTTTCTTTCGGGGTGTTTTGTTTCGTTCGAAGTTCTGATTCCTATATTTGACACTTTGACCTATAACAAGTTCTTGAAAACCGGTTATTGCTTTGCAAGAGGTTTGTTTATTGTGTCTTGAATTAAAAAAAAAACGCAACCTTTTATTTCAACATCTACTCAAGTATTATTCGTATATGTACCAAAAAAACTATGAAGTAAGTTTCGCTACTAAACTTAAATAATCATTTCTAAGTTCAAAATGTAGGTATTATGTGATATATAAGATACGCAAAAAGGCAGTCATGTACTTGTAGTATGCATCTCTCTTTCTCGAAATTGTGCGAGTTTTCACAACAAAATCTTTGTAAAGTTCTTAGAAGTGGAAGCAAAAAAATAAGGAAGAATTGAAATAATCTTAAAATTTTGGAAATAATGAAAACATATCTTTGTACGAATGTGCATAAGTTTTATTTGCGTATAAAGTTACTGACGTATCAATGACGGAGTCAATTCAGTATACCAATGACCCGATTAATTTGATATATCTGCATCAAATTGTAACTTTACTCCAATGGTTGCTATTAGATTATTTAATAACCTGTCGTAAAATTACCGTTGATTATTTAGAAGCATTTAATTTTAGTCAGATGATATATCTGTTTTTGGAATATTTTAAAATACATTTATCTAAAAAAATACATGAATATTTGATCATCACAACTTAATTCGAGCCCAATTTGAGCTGTTTAAAGTATTTTAATTTTGGGTAAGGCTTGAGTTTGTTTTTCATAAGTTCGAAATGACAATCTCTAACGCGTTTCCATATTTACACTCTCCGTTGCACAATAGATAGTTTATCAAGGTCATGCATCTTGATATATTCTATCCGCGAACGCAATTGACAATACATAGGATTTATGCACGAAAATCATTATTTACAACGGCCACGCCGGTGTGAACATCGCAATATCAATAATGCGGCGCGGATCGTCATTTATAAGTCCAAGTTGTCCACGATCGGTGGATTTACAATGGTACGTTTAAAATATGAGGAGCATGCCTTGCCTGCACTTATTAGCGGCGGACTAGAATTGGAAATTAATGTCTGGCTCTAAATCGCACACTAATAATCAATGCTGCGAAAAGTTAATTAATGCTTGAAACAAATGCTCTGATCGGATAACCGTGGTTTGGAAGAGGTTTTTAAGAAAATTGGGTAAAGTAAAGGGTAAGACAGTCGAAAGAATTGTATTCTTCATAACGTGCGTTTAGTTAGCGTATTGTTTTAATGTATGAATAAAAGGCTGCAACTGGATCGCCGGAAAAACATGTTTGATTTATTACAGGTTTACTATGCTATCAATCTTGGAATGAACCCATCGGATCTTTATTTAGTACAAATTGAAAAAGGAAGGCTCAATCTTCCAACAATTTATCAACACAGTTTATAAATCCAGTCTCCTGCCGCCACCGAATTAATAATCAAAGCACACGCCTCCATAAACTCTATTTTGACGCGCATGTTAAGTTTTAAAAGAAGTGATTGTTCAAATCGATTAGTGGAGGACCCCAGAGACATGACTTTATCAGGGAATACGTTTTTTTTTATTCCTAATTAATAATTCTGTACATACGGTTAAGTCGCCGTTGAACACATCAGAAGTCTCCATCTTTTTCCAATTTTCAAGTTTTTTATTCCTTTAGATTAAGGAACATGTAGACAGAGATAGTTCATGATGTACTTTTTTAACAAAGCTATATATTTCTCAAACGACAAGTTGTGAGCATTCCCTTCGTACGACGTAAAGAATGATGACCACTTTTTCAATTCAAATAATTAAGATCTTTATATAGACTTTAACTTTCATTGCGTTTAAAGCTGACGATTTCGTATATTCAACAAGAAAAATAATATTTTTCTTCCAAAAACCTTATATGTTTCTGTCACTTTATTGTCTATGTACCTACGTAAGTCATAATACAAAAAATATGCCAATTAATTATATCAAGTACACACAAAAGGTTGACTCAAACGTAACGCGTTATTTTATTCGAATCATGTATTTGTCTCTAAATAATCATCAACTACATTCTTACCATTTCTAAACTACAAACAAAATCACGTCAGTGCTGTTAATATGTAAGTCTTATTACAGATAGATAAAAAGATATCAATTATAGATAATTATATGTTAAAACTATTGATACAATTTTAATTTATTAAGGGATAACTAAAAGGTTAGACTTGGTGAAAACGATGTCTTTAAATGGAAATAAACAAAAAACACGAGTACAATAAACTTTGGCATTCAACGCTGAACATCGGTGCCAAAACCTTTTACTAATTGTTTGGAATTGGCGTCAAATGCCAATTCCAAACAATTAGTAAATGAACCCAAAATTGTTATAGACCGTTTTCAAATGCCTGACACATAAAGACCCAACACATTATCAACTTGTTCATTATGCTCTTGTGTTCTAATATTTCATCAAGATAAAAAAAACATCATGAGGAACATACGTAGATTACGTATTTATAAAATATAAAAGAAAAAAGATATGTAAAAAGAAGAAATACAAGAGATATTTCGAAGATATATCACTCAGTGCGCACTGTTAGTGCACAGATAACATATCTTAACAATCCCTATACAGAGGTTTTGTCCAGCTGCGGATCTCATGGATAGTTTAGATAGTTTTTTTATGTAAAAAGAGGGGAAAACGGGCAGGAGGCTCTCCTGAAATGGAAATGGAAAGCGGTCACCACCGCCTATCACATCTGCAGCACCGGAATGCTTGCAAAAGCGTTGCCGGCCTTTTAGGAAAGAATATAGAATAATATGCTCTCTTCCCGAAGGTTCCAGGTCGTAACGGTTCCGAAAGACCGTCGGCGGCAGCTGGTTCCACAGTGGTTACATACCTTTTTTCCACATAACTTTTTCCGTTACAATTCAACGATCATCAGCGGAGTGAAGGTCGCATGGAGACAATGCTTGGCAATTTCGCAACCGCGCTGGCATTTCAGCATACCCTTGATATTTGAAGTGGCGGCATTTGACGGAGCGGCTTAGGACGAGGAACGGGCATTAAACGTACATGCGCAGTCTTAGCACGCAGACCGCATTTATCTAACAGATCACGACTTGGATTCGTTTCGAGCTACGTCTTTGAATTGTAGACGCCGATGTAAGCAGAATCGATTCATGCACAGCGGTACGATGCATATTATTTTGGCGGGACACTCCCCATGTCTTGGGTCAGTCCTGACATGTCCCAGCAATGCTGCGACATGTTTAACACGAAGATGGTCCCATGTCCAAGTTAACACGGCTTATAAAACTATCGCGCGAAGTCGGAATTATTTGCAAGCGGTGTTGCCTGTCGCAATTTATGAATATCGCCTTTGCGATCGTTTTCAAAACTTATAAAATAAAAGGTACCTTAACTGTAGGAAAGTTTAAAATAGTTTATACTAACATTAAAGATATTTTTTGTTTGTACGTAACGGTTAATCTCTGAACTTACTAAAACAATAATAAGGTTTTGAGCAAAATATTCGCTCAATTTCAAAGAATTTATATTTCAACATTTAATATTTGTATCTACTCGAAAGGAAAAGTAAAAATTTTGGTGAAATTAAAAGGTGACATGGAACCGTTGTTAATAAAGATGTGGCTACCCGTGCAAAGTCTTGTTAAATAATTTCAGTGTATTTTTATTCGTTAATATTAATGCTGAACAGTTTCTATTTCTCCACTAACCCCTTATTTATTTTATTATATTGTATTGAATATTTTCGCCGTTTTAATCCGAAAACTATGAAGACTATTAGATAGTTTTCGTGGACGCCAAAAGTGAATCAAACACCGGGCGACCTTTCGAATGTTCCAGACGACCCGTACTACTGCGGGCTGCGCGCGCGCGTGCCCAACTTCGTGAAGGCGAGCGGGGCGAAGCACGTGCTGCCGACGATGACCGAGCGGCTCAGTCTGAAGGAGGCACCGGTGCCGAGCAAGCGATACAGCGTCGCCCACGCCCACCCGGGGCCCTTCCCGCCCCACATGGCGCCGTTCGCGCACGCCCCGATGCCGCCCGCCCTGTGGCACGCCCGCTCGTACGAGAGCGGAATCGGTGCGTACGAGCGTAACCCGCGCAAGGAGAAGCTGATGTACCAATTCTACCCCGACAGGGATCGCAGGCTGCGACCGCTCGTCATCCAGCAGCCGCGATAGTGTACATAGAGACTAACCCCCCGCACTTTAACTACGGACTCCTCGCTACAGTTTGTCTTGGTATAAAACTTTTCCGTTATACGCCTCGCTTGGTAGCACCACCGCCTTTCGCTTGTTTCGTACCTCTCGCACCACTGTCACTGTGCATCGGCTTCTGTTCAAACTCCACTTCACTATCTCTCCTATATAACAGTACTTCTGGGACTTTCACTTTCTTCCGATTTCTTTTCAGACCATGTCCACCATATCGGTTAGATATCGCCACTAAACTTCGCCATTGCAAGCTTCGCTTATCACTAGATAGTAATTTCTTTGATTTTCTCAAATATCTTAAATACATTTTGATATTTTATCGAAGAAACATGATTGAACATACATAATAGTGTCTCGTTATCTTCGTACATAACAGAGACGGTAACGATGTGAAGTCATGACCGTGTGGAAAGACACGATGTGTCTCTTATTGTTGTCGCCCCCTCTAATGTATTTAGCGCATCTTAGATGGCGCATGTTTATGTACAAAATAAGTTTTCACTAACACTCAAGGGGGCAACGTCCATCGTTGGCTAACTTTGGTGCAAACATTAATCGAGATTTAAACATTTCAGATGGCGAAAACTACGACCCCTACGCACTATACGGCCGCTTGCCTATTCCCGGGCGCGGATTCCCGCCGCCGCCTGCACCTCACGCCCGTCAAATGTTCATCGGAGAGTGGGACTAAGTCCTAACTACGTCTCATAAGGAAACAATTCAATACTCACATTGAAAATATACTGTCGCATCGATATTGGCAAATTTCATATCAATCTCATCATTTATTAACCGTTTCGTTCAATGTCGATCTGACAGTACATAATACAGGAATGTTGTAAATATTAATAATTCGCTTCGATGTAAATTATGAAGTATTTGTAGAACTCTCCGAAGAGATATTTATCGAGATGATTTTTTTTATGATTACGATGAAACTGGCAATATTTAAAATTATTACTATTTTGTATAAAGTCGATATACATAGATCGTATTTAGCTTTATTTCTACAAATATACTTTTACCATTTTCTTACGTCTTTTGTTAATTTAAGTTACAGTAAGTGTGAAAAACGTATAAAAATTATTTTATCACTGCCAATATGTAATAGGTGTCAGTGTTCTAAATGATTATGGAAAAAACTGAGATGGAGTGAAATTCTTTTAAAATTATTACTGTGTATGAAAACAGATGTGTAGAAAAATAATGTTATCCTGACGATATTCTTGTTTTTTTTTTTTTATGATAAGTTAGGTGTCAATCCTAGTCAATACAGGGTTGGGAATGTAAGCAATTCATAAATAAATAATAGTTTCTTGCTTTTATATTTTTATATAATTTTATTTATATCGGTATTGCGATGAAACGGTATCGAGTTTCCATTTTTGTATCAGAGATAGAGTGAGTGTGTAATGTTTATTTTTTAATATTAATGTCTTCATCATCATTGATTATGATTGTACGTAATCGTATATAATTATAAATGTTTTTGAATATCTGTTGTACATATATCACTTCCAGCTATTAGTGGTAGAACGTCTTTAATATCGTATCTTGTAGTTTTATTAACGAACATATGTATCGAATACGTATATTAATTTCATATTTTTTATAAATACTCAACAATTTATAATGTATAGTTATATTTCTGTACATACATTGACAATATCTGTCACATGAAATTCATTAGTTCTATTTTAGGCTATATGTATGTCAAGAAGTATGACTACCGTTAATATTACGTAATTTTAAATGATACGTTTAGCTCTACTCGTGAAATTGTTTCAGATCTAAATTGTGGAAGATATGATTTGTTAAAATTTATATCCTTCAAAGACTTACACAGTTTATGTACGTGTAGTTCTTTTTGGATTGTGACACTTATTTTTATTACGAGCAAATTTATTTAACGAAAATGTAACGTTGTTGTACATTCAAAATTATATTTCCGGAGGTGCTACAAGTGTTACCATTTAATTATAACGTATCTATTATTATAAAAGTATTTAGACACGTTTTATAAAGTTTTAGATTTTTTAGATAACTTTCATGTAACGCGTAGTGCGTATTGCATGCAGGTTGTTTATGTAATATACCAACAAAACATGAATCGGATCAATTTAAGACACCAACCATTACGTGCGTAAGAACAGAGCCCGAATTAAAGCACAAAATTACTATAAATACTTATTTACTAAGCTGACTAAATTAAATAGGGATATTCAATGAATTCTAATTAGTATTCAATCGGGAGGATATGCAAGACAGTTTCTTCTCATTATTCTAAATAAGAAAATCTCGAAAATTTTCAACTTTATTACATTGACAGCCGAGTGCGAAAAATTCTTAATGTGTTGATCGCTAAGTTTATTCTTGAGTAGAGAAACATCAACATCCTATCCATATATAGCAGGGTGTTGGTTAACGAGTAACCTATTTTAAGGACAATGTGTACGAATAAAATATACAATTATTTCTAATAAATGTGACATTTTCATTTTGCGCTTACAATTCCTTATTGCCGATTGTTATAAATGTGTATAAAAACTTTAAGATATGTTTTAAGTGTGCCTAAAGAAGTGCACTGAATACGATGACATACATTTGAGACCATTCACAAAAAAATCCGATAGCTTTCTTGATTATACCGTTAAAATTGTACGCACCTAAAATGTATAGCGGATTATAATGTCATGATGAAAACAAAATCGAAATATAAGTCGAAATTGCATAAGTCTACATAAGTAATATTTTTTTACAAACGCAACTTGTATAAGGCCATCAAAATCTCTAATCTACAAATATTTATTTCAAGGACAAGTATTCTCTTATACTGGACATAATTTAAACCCCGAACCCAGTTTCAGATAGCGTACCCACCCGGACATCAAATTAGACCCTTCTTTGCATGCATTGTCTTATTTTAATATAGTTCTTTTTCTTTAAACAATGATAGGCTCATTCATTGTCCAAATAAACAATTTCTGTTGTAATAATGTTAAAAGTAAATATGTACGAAATAGAGACAAGATTCATGGTAGCGCAATGCCTCCGACATTCAGTTACTTATACCACAAACTTAACTAGAGTAAGTTGTAATAAAGCAATTTTGTCAGTCACGTACGCAACGACAAATTAATAACTATCCGCAAAGTTAAAGCACCACTAATCTGGTTATTTATGAACATGACACTTCACTAATGTGAAGTGTAATGTAATTATTATATGTATTTTGTTGACCAGTGTAATTATTAATATAATTACACTGGTCAACAAAATTTTGTAACAAGAAATGTACTTACTAATTTTGAGTTAGGTACCTACCAATCCTCATTCGAACGCCATATTTATTTTGTTTTGATGAAGTCTGTTTTTTGTGTTACAGCCACTACCAGTGATATTTTATACTATGGGTAACTAATATAGTTAAGAGAACGCGGAGGGAAGAACGTCCCAATTGGGACGTTTTCGTGTCAAACAAAGAAAGAGGCAGCAAATATGTTTAATAAAGGGACACTTGCATTATATATGTAATATGTTAAATCTTTCTTTAATGTACCTAAAAAGAAAGATTTAAAATATGTAAATAAATTGTAGAAAATATTTTAACGCAAAAGAAAATTATTTATAAAATTAAAAGAAAGTTAATAAACAAAGGTGTAGAGTAAACTTTTATTTAAAAATTCTACAGATAAAGGGGCACATTTAAATTATCTATAAAAAAAAGGATAAATAGGCAAATCAATAGACAAAAATGAATATATTCAGAAGATTTTGACTCGCTATATTATCTTCCAAAGTCTATATCGCTTCTCTTCAATAGATGCAGAACAGGCTAAAAATAAAAATGTTATTATTTAGTAATGAAGTCATCGGCATCTATCCACCTTTTGATCAAATACTTTATGTTCTTCCTTGCTTCTTTCAGTTCATCATCATCGCCATCGCGGTTTGACAAAAGATCACGACAATGGGACGCTCTCGGTATAACTATTGCTGGTGCGTCATACGAAATGTCTTCTAAAATGCTTAGCCGACTCCATGGATCCAAACCACCATTTACGAAAACGACATTGGTCACATTAAGATTCAAACCGCCGTACAAATTGTTAACATCATCGATTCCGTTGTCGATTCTTGTGTCGTTAAACTCTGGGCCAAATGCGCTAGTACAAATTTTCACGTATAAGTCGACGAGTATATTGTTTGTGAATGGTTGCCGATTAGACGAGCTTGTTTGGAAATAACCAAATTCAGTGCAGGTTTGATATGTCCAACTGACAATCCAGTTTAATTTATCCTTGTAGCTATCTTTAATCATTTTATCGAAGTCGTAATCATAACAGTCCCTCCGCTCAACCCAAAAAGTAAGTTCTTCATAAAATGATGTTTCTTCTGACTCATTGAAATTGGCACAATGGTCTTTAATCTTTTTTGTATCACCATATTGCGCGTTAATCATGAACGTACTAGTTTTATCAACGAAGAATGATTGTTTATTCTCTGGGATACTCATATCATTTTCAGAACATATATTTTCCTCCTCTTTTAGCTTTTCGATGCCCTCTTTAGTTTCAAACATGCGTTCGTAACGTTTAAATCTGCTTTTTATTTCGTCCATACAATTAGCAGATCCATATTGCTCGTAATCGTCACTAACCTTTTCAAGGTATTCGTAAAAGTTTTTCTTTGCCAAAACGGGTGCACTACTTGCTATCGCAGCATCGACTAAATCAGGATACAACAATCTCATCCAAGCCGCCAAATTACCCGCATAAGAGCCACCGACCACCACTACTTTTGATTTTGAATAGAGTGGATTTAATTTAATGGTTCTTATTAAATTAGCATTGTCTGCGAGAGCTTGCCGTGCGCTTAGATATTTCAAACTTTTTGCATCGGTTCCATTTACGGGAACACTTTTTCCATAGTATCTATGCTCTGACGCGTACAGTGCACCATTCGTTTCTTTTGCTAATTCAGACGCTATTCCCGTGTATAAAAAACTTGGTGATGCTTCGGATTCCCCGCCAAGAAACAGGTATATAGGACCATTCGGCTTCCAAAGTTCATTTCGTCTGAAATATCTCATTTTCCACTTACGTGTCTCGTTCTCATCAAAGTGATCAACCTTTTGTTCTAACCACCCTGTTTGGTGCCTGGGTGTACCTGCAAGCACCACAGATGACGCCACTTCTTTTGTTAAGTATCTGAAAACCCCGTTAAATCTAAAACCATAAATTGGATTTAACAGAAACAGAAGACTACAAATATACGTCACAAGCATTATCGTTGACGGTAATTTTTCACTGAATTCAACTGCTACTATTGTAAGCCCGTAGAATGCACTGTGCTAAATAATACAGTGGTATGTTCTTTGTTTCGTAATTACCATTTATGTAAATGTAGTGGAATTTTATCTAGCGTTTTTAAAAGCGCGATGGTGGCGGAATTCTATCGTAAATAAAAATAATTTCTTCTAGTCACAGCACATAAGTAAACGAAATAATTATTAATTAGTAATAAGTAAGCACAATAATAAACGAACGATTGTACCATGTTCTCGTAAAAATAAGAAATCAACATTAAACTACGCAACGGATCTTGATGCGGTTTCTTTTACGAGATAGAGTGATTCAAAAAGATTATATGTGTAATACATTGCACCCGTGCGAAGCCGGGGCGGGTCGCTAGTTTATTTATAAAGTGAAGTAGCTGAAACAAAGCAGTAATGAATGTAACTATGGATGGATTTTTTTGTTTTTCGTTGTTTTGATTATCTCAGTGCATTTGGGATGCTTTCAGATCTCTTACAGAAGGAAATGATGCCAGTGCATTTACCATAAGGGTACAATACCCTTAACCGTCACTTGTAATTTTCGTTGAGTATTTGACTTGTCGTTATACAAAAACTAAAAAGTTCTCCACTAGCAAACCAAAATTACAGACAAATTATGATAGGTAAGTGGGTAGGTGTGTACAACTAGATATATTTATACCTCATCTATTGACAGTATAAGGTACTACGCGGACTTAATCTTTATAAAAATGTTCCATATATTATAGTACCCGGAGGACCGAGCTTTGCTCGGTTTGTTTTTTTTTTTGGTAAATCGTGTATTTTGGAAATTACATTTAGATACAAATTACTGAGTAATGAAATATGCATAGTATTTTTCGATCTTACCGACGTAATATATATGAACTGATGTTTTTCACAAAAAAAGAGGGAAAAAATAGCAAAATAACAAATCGACAAAAAATTAAAAATAAAGAAAGCAATGAACTGGAATCGAAAAAAAAGTAAAAAAATTAATGTGTAAATGATCGTGACGCGAACCACGACCGTCTGTTTTAGGGCCGCCCGATTACCGACCGAGCTATTATGACATTTTCTCTTGCGGCGAAATTTACCGTCATATTCGAATTATATTTTTCATTCCCTGAAAACAGGGATTAAAGGGCATTTTCTAAAAATGAAACCTAGCTAGATCGATTTTTCGCCCCAGAATCTATGCACATACTAAATTTCATGAAAATCGCTGGAGCCGTTTCCGAGATTCCGATTATATATATATATATACAAGAATTGCTCGTTTAAAGGATAAGATATACAATACAGTAGCCGTAATAGCTCATTGTCCTAAGTCCTCAGTAAACTGTTTCGCCTTTTGTTTTTCGCAATTAAGACATGTAATATCACTATGTAGTATAAAACAAAGTCGTCCCGCTATCTGTCTGTCCCTATGTATGCTTAGATCTACGCAACGGATCTTGGTGCGGTTTTTTTAATAGATAGACGGATTCAAGAGGAAGGTTTATAATGTAAACATTGCATCGTGCGAAGCCGAGGCGGGTCGATAGTAAAGTAATTAAATAAAGTTTTATATGACACTTGAGTATTAAAATCTTTACTGTTTTACCTTGTAATCTTGATAAAAAAAATAAAAGATTCGCAAGTTATACTTTTCATAAGACATATATCTATGTATTTAGATTTGTAAAAGAGTCACGTTCGAATCCTGCAGCGCAGTACGTTTTTGATCATATATCTACAAAAATGTACAGTAAAATGACTGATAATTTCTTGTTTTAAATCACAAGCTATAATTATACGATATTTTTATGTGAAAACTTTTCAAGCGAGCAGGTAAGTGTGTAGCAGGAAGTTACAGTCGCACATGAACATGTACAACGCCTAAAAGATTGTAAATGCGTTGAAAAAGTTAAAAAAGTATCCCCGCTTATCTCACTCACCATACGAAAAGTTAAAGTGTAATACTCCCACTTTAACGAAGGTCGTTTGTAAAGCCATGAGGCCATGACACTTTCCCGGATGAGCCTGCCCAATTGTGGAAAAGTAGAATCTGCTGCGTGGCCCTCCGACAGCACCTATGTACGGGCTAATTAAAAACAAAGTTAATCGTCATAAAGGAAAAATAAGTAAAAACTCGTTGAGACAGAATTATCAAAATCACTTTGGGTACACGGCCAAAACTAGATTCTTTTGCAGAAACAATTTTGATCAGATACGATAAGTTACCAAGGTTCATTTTTGCCCCACATAAAATTGTGGATTGCTATACGTCAATAGCATTTCGGTCGTTTCCATGGCAACGCGTAAACAACAACGTTATTGCGCGTGACGGTGCTGTTATTTAATTAATTTAGCCCTCGTGCAGGTGTAAAGTAATCTGAAAGCGGCGTTCGTTATGGATTTTTCCGATGGCAGTGCCGTGGACAGAGCGAGCGCGAGCAGACGGACAGAGGCGCCAAGACCAGTGTCGAGAAGAGGCTATCGAGAATACACGAACAGTGGTTCAGCTATTTCCAGGTCGGCAATAAATTATTATAGCGAAACTTAGAACAAAAGTAGAATGTTTCAGATTTCAAATTGATAGATAACAAATCCTAAACGAAGACTGAAGACATTTTAGCTATGACCCCAAATGTAAATTATTATGTACGTTTCCTAATTCCCTCATTTCTATTTTTAAATGTACTTAACTTTTATTAACATAAATACATAACTCTTTTACGTGCGTTTAAAATAACTAAATTTTTGATAAGACTTAATATTAGAGCAATTAATTGCTTTCAAGGCGCCTTGCATACTTCATACATACATCGAATACAGTACATGACAATAGCGTTAAGATTCCCAGTCATTAAAATAATACTTCTTTACGATTCTTTCCCAGGTTTCTATTATCTTATAATTTTCAATATGCATCACATTTGTAAAATTTCGAATAATTTCTTCAGACCATGACTTTTCACCGAACGTATTTCACGAGACAGTATTTCCTACCGGCACATCGCTTGCAGCTTTATAAAGCACAGATTCAGCCGCACATGGAATACTGTTCTCACCACTAAGCTGGGGCACCGAAATACCAGTTCCTTCTATTTGATCGCATCCAGCGAAGAGCTGCTCGAATCGTCGACGACCAGGTCCTGTCCGATCGCCTCGACTCTTTGGCCTTGCGAAAGGTTGTTGCAGCCCTTTGCATTTTCTATCGAATATATCATGGGGAGTGCTCTGAGGAATTGTTCGGGTGATATCTGCTGGTGAATGTTACCATCGTACAACTCGTCAAACCGCCAAATACCATCGACACCACTTCCCCGCACAGCTTCTTTATGGAACGAGTTTTCTCCAGCGGTATTTCCGGACCGATACGACTTGGGGACCTTCAAGAAGAGAGCTTAGTCCTACCGTACAGGCAAGCATCGCAATTGTGGCTCAACCGATGTTGCAAGTGTCCATGGGTGGCGGTGATCGCTTACCATCAGGGGACCCACTTGCTCGTTTGCCACCTTTTTCCATAAAAAAAATTAAAAAAACAGCATCGTGAGCGATATTTCCTAACTGATAAGACCTGCACCAGGGGCGTATTTCACACCCATAATGTTATGGAAATATCTACAGGTAGGTGTTCTGTTACAGTGCATCCTTTTTCTTACTGGACTGTATTTTTCTTTAAATATCTTCTTTTTTGACCTCAAGATTAACGAAGGATTTCACCAGGTCAACCAATTAAATAGGTGCCCATTAGGGAATGGTTTAAAGACGTACACCTTAAAGTATGCTGGATTCTAATTAAATTAATTAATATTATACATTATTAGATCTAGCAATAATTATGTATATAATAGTGTGAATTGCATGTTTTGTCTGTGAATCTGAATGAATATGGAGTATTTAACAATAGAAGCGGCAATATGAGGCCTACATCGGCTTATAGAGGGCACACGGCGTCTAGACTATCCACAGCTGCGTTCGGACCGCCTCCAACGACGGCTGGCCGCCAACCAACAGCCATGACCGGATTTTCTATGGTGAGTATCTCGATAGATTGCTACGATTACTCGTTTGACGTCTTGCCAGTCTTGAAAGACTGGAACATTAGAATCACCATCATCATGATCAGCTGAAAGACTTCAATTGTTGAACAAAGGTCTCCCCTTAGTCTATTCTACTGTTGTGGCAACAACGAATGAGACTGTCATTTGCAGCCATTGGCGCCGGTTGCCCGCGAATATTACGATGTCGTCGGTCTTCCAACACTACTTCTTCCGGTTCGTGGTATTATATATAAACGAAGATGCAATAAGCGTCGATTTGCAAATGTTTCTTCTATTTATGAAGCCATTTCGAGTGGCTACTCAATTAAAAGATTATCGTCACACAGATAATTTCACACTGAATCTTGTAAATGCCGTCAGCTAATTAATTATTGGTTGATGAAATAAATTTAACAAATTTTTTAATCTCTGTAAATGTTTAACTCACCGAGAGTTAAAGAAAACATAGATCAGGTAATCACTTATCTTCGGATGGTAACTGTGCAAATGTATTAGATCGACAGGCCGATAACTCAACAAGGCATTTCGGGCCTGCGCACTGGAACTGCTAGGGGATTTCGCACGAGGCAGCTGCAAGATAAACGCTACTGGGAGGAACTAATGCAGGTGAAGGTGCGCGAGATGAAAGCGGAGATTGCTCGCCTGAGCGAACAAGTCGAATCCGGCGAGAGAGAGAAGTCCGCGAAGAAACACTACGAGAAGAGAGTAAGGGAGCTTGCGCAGGAGTTGACTGGTAATATAACATTTTGAACAATACTTTTAAAGTGGCGTCCAAATACTCTTCTTTTCACGAAATTATAGTTAATGTTGAAACAACACTTCGAGATACACAGAGCAACATCAATTATTAATAATAATCAAGTTTAAAAATTATTATAAAATAACTGAACTGCCTTAAAAAAGGTAAACTCACTCGTCAAATAAAACGCGAAAATATAGTAGTATCTCTTCACCCTGGCTTTACTGTGAAGATGAGGTATTTCTCCTGACGAGAACAAATAACTTTTTAATACTTAATTTTACCTAAAGTATCACTGTTTTTTAGATTTACAAGGACGGTTAGCGGATTACAATACAGCAATTCGTATCGCCAATGGTGAAGCATCGAAACAGTCGGTCGAAGAACAAACGAGAGAATTGGAAGTGAGCAACAAGAAGTTGCAGGAGGAGGTCGAACAGGTGTTCTTGGAAAAGCAGAGGAAGGAGAACCAGCTAAGGCAGCTGAGAGAGCAAATGGATAAGGTGACAATAAAAGACACGTTTAAATAATGACTCGCCATCATAGCTTGTAATATTTTTTTTTTCATAAAACATGGCCCTTACTTTAGGATAACATAATCCTGTGTTATAAGGACGTTTTACAAACATAAATTACACGTGGACAAACACCCAGACGCGAAACAACTATCTGCGGGTCACACAAATAGTTGTCCCGTATGGGAATCGAACCCACGACGCCCGACGCCGAACTGCGCCAAGGAGTCATCCAATAATTAAACAATTATTAGATGACTCCTTTACTTTTAATTACTGCATAATTAAACAACTAGAGCTGATTACGTAATTTACGACATTGTATTTTTCAGACAGCCCCATTAATATAAAACGCATGTATTTTATTATCACATTTTAGGAGCAGTCATCTATCTCGCAACTGCTGGCAGAAATGTCACCGGAGCAGAGGGAACAGTATAACGAACTTGAGACCGCTGCTGCGGCCTTGAGGGAAGAGGTAGAACAGGCTAGAACACAAATGGATCATCTAAGCAGAGAGAGGGAAGAATTCAACAGAGAGATCTCGGTATCCCAGGTAGAAATACAATATTAGTTTAACGATGGTGATATACTTCGGTAATCCCCGATTTCAGCTGCTATTAAGTTTTTATAGTCAAATCCTCTAAGTCTAGTAGATAACGACTATCACGTATATTCTTTTACGTACTATAAAATATACGGGTATAATTTTCAAATATGTGCAGTGGCGCCGGATACGAAGAAACTCATATTTTTCTTTTTTTTTTTTTTTTTCAGATAAAAGTACATCTATTGGAATTACACAAACGATTGGCCGAAGCCGAAGAGAAGCGCGACAATCTCAAGGATGAAATGAACAATCGTTTGGATCCTCAGGAGGAACGAGAGAAACTATTGCAACAGGTACTTGCAAATACTTCTATGATCTGAACAAGTAATATATATTTTCTATCAGCGATATAATGAACAGCCTGTGCCAATCCTAATCCAATCATAAACTAATAGTTATTAGTTATAATGTTCTCAGTGTTATGAATCTTAAATTTTTGTTTGGGTGTCTGTTGTGTATAGTACATAAAAATTTCAAAGTGTTATATAATTTTTAATTAAATAAGAAGAAAAAGAAACTAAGAATACAGTAGTGCAATAGTATATAACTATTCGAACTTATTCAGCTATGCATCATTTGCAAGGAATTGTTTTTAAAGAGACAAGGAATCTGTATTTTGCAGGTTCGCGAAGATAATTCTGCGATCGCTTCTTTAGATAGTAACGCTGCGAACTTGAAGGAGCAAATTAAAAAAGTACAGGAACTGATAGAACAAGCGGAGCAGGTAAAGAATTGGGAAATAAAAGAAATAGAATATAAGCTTGATGTATTGCAAATAAATTACATTTTCAGGATCTAGAGGAAGGCAATTCAGAGCGCCACCAAAAATACAGAGAACTGAAGAAGAGAGAGGAAACTATGGACGCCTTTATGTCCACCTATGAAGAGAGTCTCACGAAAGAGAAGGATAAAATCGATCAGTTGGAAAAAGATATTGTATTTGCACTGGAGCACAGCAGTTCCAATATCGACCTAGATCTAACTGAAATTGATTCGTTGAAACAAAAGGATGGATACGTAACTACTTACGACGAGAGCAAGAAAACTGTAGAAACGCTGATGAAGGACTACGAAAGATTCCAAGCAAATTTGAAAAAAGTATACCCACAAACAATAGAATGTATTTCGATATTATATTAAGAGAGTGACAACTCAATTGATTTTGTATTTCAATTTTAGGCGGAGGCTACACGCGAACGTTTAGCGACCGAATTAAAAATGTTGCCAGAGAAGACGCGAGTGATGGAGGAAGAACTAGTAACACTTTCTGATCTCGAAAGACTCAGGGATGAAGGTACCATTAAATCAAATGTGGAATTATATTACTGGGGTTTAAATGTGTACACATTAACCAAATTATTGATTATAGGTGAAGAGCAGAAAAAGGCTTTAGAAATTGAGTTGCAAGTTTTGAAAGAAAAGCTAACTCCCACCGAAAGTGCAGTAATAGAGGCGGCTAATAAACTAAAGAAGATTCAGGTAAAATTTATAATGATAATAATTTTAAATATGATACAGATGAAAGAATTTATTGTCCTTAACACATCAATGTTTGTTTAGTGATAATAATTTTCAATGTGATACGGGGGAAAGCATTTATTATCCTTAAATTATCAATGTTTTTGCAGGCGGTTTTAGATGGCAACGAGATGTACGCAACACTGAACAGTCTAGAAGATCAAGTAGCTCAACTTGAAAACAGAAAAACTATATTGGAAGAAGACATAGCGTCAATTACCTTGAAAGCGGACTATGAACCAATAAAGAAGCAGGCCTTGGAGGAATTGGCAGTGCTCAACCAGAAGCTTATAGAAAACCTTGATAGTAAAAAATCCTATTAACAAAACCTATTATAGAACGTATAAAATGTGTCCTTTTAATAAAGCGAATGGTCAAATTATTTCGAAAATTATTTAAAATCAATGACTGATATTAATAACAAAATAAAGTACGCGTGCGGCGAAAACATTTTATTAAATTACAAACACAATAATTTAATATCACAGACGCTACGGTTAAATAAACAAATACATCCTTGTACACTACGAATCTCATATAATTTAATGTCCTTTAGTGTTTCCTGAAAGAACGGACCTAAATCAGGGCCTGGATTTGAGACTTTGCTTGACCATTATATGTTTTAATGTTCTTAATGGGATTTTCTGAAAGATCGGATTCAGGACCTGGTGGACGCTTTTTGGCTCTGCTTGTCCAAAAGCGTCGCCAGTTCCGGCGGTATATCTCTGTTGTTCGAGCTGAACATCGAGCACAGGTTGCTGACGAAACGCTGCGAGGGCGTCACATCTTCGTCCTGCATTTTGTTCCACAGCGACAGCGCCCCGTTGCAGTTGTCTTCGCGTTCTGCAATATGCGCAACGGGCCAGTCAATTGCCAACACAAACGAACAATGCAATAGTCAATAATGAACGATGTACGATTTATTATGTAATATAAAAAAAATCATAATCATCTTTAGTAACCCATATTAGAAAAAGTAAATCAAATCATAACTAATAAACATTTTTTTTATGTGAAAAGTTGCCAAACGAGCAGACGGTTCACCTGATGGTAAGTGAATACCGCCGCCCATGGACATCTGCTACACCCGAGGGTTACAAATGCGTTGACAACCTTTTAAAAATTGGGCTCCGGCTACCCCACTTACCAGACGAAACGCGAAAGTATTTTTCATACTTTCGCGTTTCCACTTTACGCTGGTCTTCTGTGAGGTCGTGGTACTTACCCGGACGGGCCTGCCCATTCGTGCAACAGCCGAGGCTGCTGCGTGGCCCTACCACCTAGGAAATCATCACACATCTGAATCAAGTCAGCTTTCAAACAAAAAAAAACCGGCCAAGTGCAAACGTTTCCATTCGGTTCCGTACCATTATCTATACAATCTGCAAAAAAAAAAAACATGTCTGTTGTATGAGAGCCCCACTTAAATATTTTTTATTCAGTTTTATAGTATTTGTTGTTATAGGGTAATAGAAATACATCTGTGAAAATTTCAACTGTCTAACTATCACTGCTCATGAGATACAGCTTGGTGACAGATGGACAGATAGACAGACAGCGGAGTCTTATTAATAGAGGGTTCCGTTTTACCCTTTGGGTACGTAACCCTAAAACCACACCATAATCTGTCCATTTGTTTAGAACCTACGATGCGACAGACAGAAAACCATGTCAACTTATAAGACCCCTCTTTTATCGTCGGAGGTTAAAAATGAACTATATCAAATATGACGTCAACAAAAAATTGGAGCTTATACATTGAATTACTTCATATACTATTAAAAAAAAAGATACATCATTGTTATGCTACCAGACCCGAATAATAAGCTAGCATGACGATGAAAATGAAACACACAAGTTAGATTTAACGCGCAATTATAAAATGTATCTATGATTTTATTATTTCACAGTTAAATTCAGTACATTTTGTTTTCTGCCGAGTTTTGTGGTGAGAACATTTAAAAAAAAATTATACTGTGAGAGCCAAATTGGAAATTTCCTTTTGGGGTGCTATATTTAAATATTTAATTTTTGACAAGCATACGTATTGTCGACACAATATTTAATTAAACTGCAAAATTCACATTCATCGTGTCAACTCTATTAATGAATTTGAGTAGAAATGCCTTCTACTCAAATGATATTTTATACTATAAGACACTAGCGGGCCGAAATTGAGGCGCGCAAATTACATCAAATGGTGTAATTCTGTACACTGCTATCTCTTTCCGTGTCATAATTTCTATATCATCTGTCAAATTCACTTATATACGTCTTATAAGGTAAATCGGAACAATATTCGAACGCCACGCAGAATGGACACGCGTTATCTATATTATTAAACATCATTACACCACCTAAACATCACCACCTACATATTATACGTTTCCTTTAAGCCATTGGTTGCCTTGAAGAGATCGCTATGGAGCGATGAGGTCGCCAAATTGTACATTGCATAGATTTGTTGCATTATCCTCACTTCTATGTATACCCTCATTTGTTCATTCATTCATTCATTCGTTCATACATTCATTCATTCATACAAAATTGTTCTACTCACTGTACACGTCCAATATCATGTTGTACAAGTCCCCCAGTTGCAAATGGCGTAAGTCCTTCACGCACTCGGCTATTGTGACCAAAGCGGACACTTTCTTCTCGTCCGCGAAACGCTCGCAGCGCCTCAGCAACGCGTCCGGGTGGAACTTCACCGCGGGGTCGAGAAGCAGTTTCCTCAGGGTCTTCTTGTAGCCGACGTCTGCTAACGCCGCGATTAGACTTAACTGCGAGAGATAAATTAACGGAAATAATATACAATTTAAGACTCGACTCCATCCATTATGTATCTGTGGTACTATATACGGGAATAAAGTTGTCTATGGTACGTGAAAGTTATGACAAAAAACACATGAATCATAAGTTCACGTTCATGGTTAATAAGTAGAAAGTGACATAAAAACATTAATAATAAAACGAGAACCAACCCCTTTTTAATAAAGAATACAAAATGAAGAATCCTTACTAATATTGTAAAGGTGAAAGTTTGTATGTATGGATGATGGATGTTTGTTTTGACTCTTTCGCGTAAATACTACTGGAAGGGGTTTTAACGAAACTTTACAATAATTTAGTTTATACATCAGAATAAAACATAGGCTATAATTTATGTACATATTTTTATCAATATCTTTCTGATAATACATATTTTTATAATAAATGTCTGAATGTTACGCCTTCAGCCTATTCTACGCAGACGTAGTCGCGGGCAGCAGCTAGTATTATAAACGCGAAAGTTTTTTTATATGTATCGATGGATGTTTGTTACTCTTTCACGCAAATACTATTGAATGGATTTTGTTAACTACAATATAGCTTATACATCAGAATAACACATAGGCTATAATTTATATACGTACATATTTTTATGTATATCTTTCTGTCTGAATGTTACGCCTTCAGCCTATTCTACGCAGACATAGTCGCGGGCAGCAGCTAGCTATAGATATTTAAAAAAAAAAAAAAAAAAAACGAAAACCGTTTTCAAACACTAAGTATAAAAAAATTAGACAAGTACTAAACGCAGTCTAAAAAGACAACAGTGCATTATTTCTGAAAAAGTACGGCCCATCAACTCCGCCCCTTTGCACTGAACGCACCTGTACGTCGCCTGGTCCGTGCACTTTTTTGTCCGCCGCGAGCACCGTCTGCACCAGCTTGTTCAGGCTGCCGTTCGTCTTCTCGTTCACCGCAAACGCCTCTTCAGAACCGCCGTCGCCCATAGCGAGCAGCATCTTGCACAGCAGCTCGTGCTTCAGCGGCGTCTTGCCATATTTGTTCGCCAGATTCACGAACTCCTTCACGGCCGCCTCCAGATTTCCGCTGCAAGGTTAGCGAGGCTCACTGTAACACGCCAGTTGGCGCGTATTCGAATAATTTCGAGGTTAAGTTTTGCCATTGCTCAATTGACTTTTTTTTATTTTGATTAAAAAGACACAAATGAATAGAATAGAATTTTCACTGAAAAGAATTATTCCTTGTTAAAATCATTTCAAATAATACCTCAATTATATTTTTCAGTATATAATGTTGATGTTGCTCGTTAGCAAGAACATCTGATATGTTTCACTTGCGACTACTGTAAGGCTCGGACGATCTATTTAGTTTGCGCGAAAATTTGTCAATCGAGCCGGTTCACTTGGCAGGTCACTTGATGTTAATTGAATACCGTCACTCGTGTACATATACAGTGCCGGTTTAAAAAGTGGGCCCCGATTACTACACCCACTACACAATACGCACAATTATAATACTTCCAATACACGCCTCTCTCCTATGAGTCCGTGGCACTTTCCCGAAAGACACAGACAGACAAAGACACAGGTGAGTGACGTTAACAGGGCCTATAAAAAGGTTTTCGACGCCGCAGTTGTTAGTCAAAGACAAATTCGAAATTTGTTTACAATACAGGCTTATTTTAAGCTCTTGATCAACGTAAACAACCACCAACGGCTCACTAAACTAGAAGTATCCCGACAAGAACCGGCAAGAAACACTGCGGTCTTATCTTTTTTTTTATGATACAAGTACACCTCCCTCTTAACTCTTCTTTATGTCCCTTTACCAAAAATTCATTTGGCAATGGTTGTATTGAAAAAATCGCTTTAAGCGCGAGTGATAAGACCGCCTATTGTACTTCCTTTTACATTAATTTTTAATTTGCACTTCTTATGTTTTGCGGTACAATAAAGCATAAACAAGGTAAATAAGCATAGAAAATTATTTAGGTCCAAAACGAGGTAAGCGGCGTGCTATTTGCTAGTGTGTCCCAAAAACACCACCTACTTGACTAAGTGCGCCCGCACCAGCGGTCCGAGGTTCGAATTCGTGGGCTTGCAGTATCGCAGGCTCGTCAGCAGCTGGAACATTCTGCGAGTCTGCTCGGCGCCACCGCGCGCCGCTACCGCATCCAACAAACGCCAGCAGTTCATCGATATGCTGTGCCCCCCTATAACTCGCCTGCAAATCGATACAAAGTTTTTAAACTATAACTAAGACCCTCGGGGTGGAAATCACGTATGCCACGTCACGTACTTTAAGAATTTTCTTCCCAAATTGAAGGAAGAATTTACGAAAAATTTACAGTGCAAGTGTTTAGCAGGTAAATTCAAAGCATAACTTCCTAAATGAAAAACGTTTAGCAAGTTTTGTTTTGAATTTGAAAGTGGGCTTTTGAATTGCTTTAGGGGTATTTTATTGAACAGTTGGTAACACTGGTAGAAATCCCCGAATATAATACACTGTTACCTTTTGAGAGTATTGTGTTTTATTTTATCATTGACTTGTCATTGTTTGTCTGTCATCTGATGTTTCTGGTATAGTCTGTGGTGATAAGCGCAATATGTCAGTTAAAGTAAATTAACTATAACTTTGTTTCCTAATTAATTAGTCTTTTAAGACGTCGTTCGTAGGATTGTGTTGTTATTTGTCGCATTTGTTATGTAACAACGATGTTTAAATGTGCGTATGGGACGTCGTTGACAGTCACCGATAACGTGTGTCAAACCAATATCAGTCCACCGCAGGAAAAAAAACAATTCTTTTAATTAGCTCCTCAAATTCTGCACATGCGCCGTCGAGTTCAAAAATTAAGTTATAGCTCAGTTCAGACGCATTTAAGTTACGTTAAGTAAAGCCAGCACTGTGCTTAAGAAAAATGCGTTGAATGGCCGGGCGACTCGTTCGTGTACTTCTAAAACTAAGTGACACATTATTCGGCCGGACTTGATACGGATTCAAGTTACGTTAAGCAACACCAGGCACACAACGCTTAAAAGAAGTTAACCCGGCGACTTGTAAACACAGTTCGTTCCGTGACAAATAGTTCGAGTAAACATGGCGACTGTAGGTATTTCTATTATGTAATCCATGTGGGTATTTGTAAATGATAACGTGGGAACAGAGTACCGAATAAAGGTTAGTCTTGGTTCACTCGTGCTCTCTCATTGACGTGTCCAATTAACCCAACAACACAAACAGCGACTTGTTAATACGGTTCTTCTAGAGCCGTAACAATTAGTTCATATACGACAAAACAGTACAACGGACCTCCGTTTCGACTGCTCGCTGATCAGCTCGAAGGCGCCGTCGATCCTGTCCCTGTAGACCATTAGGGTGGCAAAGTCGATGACCTTGAACTCGTCCAGCGTGAAGTTGGGCGAGCTCTTGTTGAGATCGGCGAGCGCGATCTCGGCAGAGTCCAGCTCGCCCATCTTCACGTGCAGGTCGAATATCGCGGCCTTCATACCGGCCGACAGGAACACCTATAATACATATATATACATATATATATGTCCTTTATATATATATATATGAATGCTAAAGTAACTCTGTCTGTCTGTCTCGCTTTCACTCCAAAACTACTGAACCGTTTGAAGTCAAATTTGGTACACAGATAGCCTATAGCCTGAGAAAGGACATAGGCAATTTTTAAATTGGAAAAATTTTAAAATTGCCTATGTCCGGTTGTTAATGGCTTCAACGCGAGCGAAGAGCGAAAATCTAGTGTATAATATAACTTAAAAAAATATATATTGATACTGTTTTTTTATGAGTATGCAATTAATTTAATAGAACATTTGCAACATCCTTACGGTTGCGGGTGGAAGATGCGTTGCCGTCTTTTAATGAAATGGGCCCCGGTTACCTCGCAACAGTAGATGTACCGTAGTGAAAAATCTCGATAATGTTAATTCATTTATGTCCAATAAAAAAGAAAGTTAATTAAACAATTACTTCATAGAACAGATGAACAGAACTAAAATGTTTTAGTGTCCATAGAAAAAAACAATTTTTCATTCACCAACAAATAGTGATTAAACTCGTTAGTATATTTCAAACTATTTTAACTCGTATTTTATGGAATTATGAAGTGGCTAGTACTTACGCCTTCTTTCCGACATTTGTCGACAACTTCTAAAGCAGCTGGCAAATTATTTTCCCGACAGTACTGCTGTAGCAACTTGCGCAGAACGCCGCGTGTGTTCATGCCTTTAGCTTCCAGCTCGCTCAAATGTGCGCGAAGGGACTCCTCGTTCATATTTTTCTAAAAAAATAACAAATATGTCATCAAACGTATACACACAGTTTAATTAATGTCTTGTTTACATTGCACGATGAAATTGTTAATTGCGATTTAAGCGCCGATTCGCAGATAAAGTGAAATTAATCTGTGAGAAAATGTGTTACAACCGCGACCTTAAATGAACACTCTTAATCTCTTTTCAATAATAAAAAAAAAAAATAATAAACGTCAAAAAATAATTTAAAAAAATATTTTCAGACAAACTAATTAATTAAAAGAAAAACAATCTGTAACATCCTATACAACTATAACTGACCGTTTCATACATTCATAGAGTTTTTCATTCGTTGCCTCAACGTCGCGTTACAAGTCTCTCCTTCTAACAGTATGTTTTATCTCTTTTAAATTCTTTCAACCAATTTATATGCTTGACCTTTACAAATGAACTTTACGTTACAGTTTGATACGTAGGGTGTTCTAAAATTATTTGTTTTGTAAAATTAACTAAGTCGGTAAATATTGATGTTTAATGAAAATAAATGTTTATTACAACAGTTATCCTATGTGTATGTTTTTTTTACTCTTTGAATTGATCATTCTGATCATTTAGTAGATCATTCTGATCAATTCAGAGAGTCCTTTTGGCAACTTAAATAACATTTGAAAAGCCATTTGACAGCTGATTAGTTGCCTTCTATGACGATTAGTGTTTTGGAAACCGGGCGTGAATGTATTTTATAGGCCGTTACTTTAAGTACATAATTATGTATTTTTTTAATTACTTTGTTGTGGATTTTACGCAAATGATCAAGTTGACTACTTAAGATGCACTGTACAGTGCAATCTAAGTGCAAAAAAATTTAAATTGCACTTTACGTCAGAACAGTGAACACGAAAAGTAAAGTGAAAAAGGTATCGATATAACTTACTGGATGAGGCATCTGCTCAACGAACATTTCATTGTCATCTACCAGCCTCTCGTCGGTAATAGCGATAAGTGCCTCCCTAAATCTGTCGATAGTTTCTTGATCATAGTTGTCGGGTAGTCTTGTTATACAATAATCGGCAGCCCAGGTCGATATCTTGAGAGACGTATCCTTTAAGGCCTGCAATTTATAATTCTCACGCAATAATTATTACTATAGGAAACAAAATAAATCGAGGAACAATTTTATTGAACCTATTTTTTTTTTAAATGTAAGAGCCGTGATGGCTCAGTGTCTGGGCGCTCGCCTTTAATTCAATATACTCGAGCAACCTGAGTTCGGTCCCCGGTGCCGGCACCAAGGAAATTGTAAATTTTAAGTGCTGAATTATCACGTGCTCAGCGGTGAAGGAAAACATCGTGAAGAAACCTGCATATTCTCGAAATAATAACAAAAAAAATATTTCGAACATATGTGATGTCCGCCACTCTACAGTGGGGCCGCGTGGTTTACTATGCCCTGATGTACATAGATATTTTATATTTATTATATGATACTTTACTTTTAATTTTATGCAACCTACTTTATAATCGAGGGAAGCATTCAGAGGTCCCAGAGAAATATTGTCAAATTAGTTGGACAGTACAGAAAAAAATGTAGTTAAATCATTAACTAACATCATTAACTAACTAACTAACTAATATTGCTATGTGACTTCGAAAATAATGAAAAAAAGCAGAATTTCTATAATATACGTTTTGTTATTAACGTTAAAAAATTTTGTTAATATACGTATTGTTATTATTGTTTGAAACACACTGACTAAACCAGAAACAATTAGTCAATTACATCCCCATTTCTCAGCAGGTACGACATCTGCCATACTTTAAGCAATACTGGCATTTCAATTATTTAAAGTAATATCCACTGTAAGATTAAAAAAGTAATTAACCTTAAAAATGATTGTGTAGCGAATAGGGCAACCAAAATTTCTTTGGTTGATCATATAATACTTTAATAAAATAAACTATAAAAAATAGTACACTTAGGTACAGTATTTTATAAATAAAAGTAAGGAATCGACAAATATATATTTGTCACTTATTTACTCATATAATACGTATTTTTAAAACCATTTTCAAAAGTGAGGAACTCAATTGTTATTGTTTGTAGCCAAATAAAGATTCATCCGTCCAGAGACATACATTTTTCAAAAATGTATAGCACCAGCTACGTAGGCTCGAAATACAGTAAAGTAAAATATATATTAATTCATTTGGCAACCCTAGTAAAGCTTTTTCCCCAGTGTTTTAAAAATAAATATAATACTTAAAAACATCTCACCAACCTGTACTATCGCCATGAAATCAGATAAGTCCCCCTTAACTTTTTTATGTTGCATAAACACGCAAAGGAATCTGCCCACCCAGTCTTTGCCCTTGTCTGTGGCTTTTGCCGTCACGTCCTCTAGGATATGGACTGTTGATTTTACGTCTAAGCTCATCAGAAAGCCCTTAACAAGTGGTCGTAATAACATATCTGCATCAACTTTCCCTTGAAATAATTCACCTAAAATTGAAATATAATTAAAATTACTGTTGCATTTCCATTGTAAATGACCATTCAAAGATATACTTGTTACTATATTATTTATAATAGTTCTGCTTTACGCCCCTAAAACATGGGTTTATCTTTTCAAAATAATTTTAAAAATTAAAAAAAATTTGAATGTACTGTGTGTTAACATAAATTAAATACTAATTAATACTTTTACCAAACTAAATTAAACTACACAATTTTATAATAAACTTAAATCGAACTCGAATCGAATCATGTCATCGAATATACTAGCGACCCACCCCGGCTTCGCGCGCGTGAAATGTGTTATACATATAAACCTTCCTCTTGAATCACTCTATCTAGTAAAAAAAAAATCTGCATCAAGATCCGTTGCGTAGTTTTAAAGAACTGAGCATACATAGAGACAGACAGACAGCGGGACGATTTTGTTTTATACTATGTAGTAATGGAGTAAAAAATGGATAAAAATATTTTTATCTACTTACATTTTTTATGAACATTGGGAAAATTTTACTGATACGTACAAATCTCACTGGCCGCCCTGACTTGACCAGTGTTGAGGAGTGTCTCCATCATCGGCGTGAGGACAGTGGTAGCGGAGAGCCCAGCGTCTTGGAACTTCTTCATCAGATTTTGCGGGGATGTGAAGCTTACATATGGCAGACTGTACAGCATAATGGTCTCATAGTCAGGTTTCACGTCCATTGTTACCATAGTTGACAAAGTGTTCATTATACCTAAAATGTTTCTATTTATACTAGGCAACACAGGTTTTCATCTATTTTTGTATTTATCATTTTGCCTTGAAATTAGGCTTCAGCAATTTCAAACAAACAAACAAATTGTACCTCTACCGAAATAGATCTATCGTCTTTTATAATTTAATGGACTGTATGTATTTTTGTATGCTATATCATAAAAAAATAAAAATAAAAATGTTATACAACGTGTCGTTACCACCGCGACAATAAATGAACACACGTCTAATGCTACTTGCCAATAATCAAAAAAATATTATTAACGTTAAAAAAAATCCATAATTAAAAAAAATAATTTTCAAACAAACTAATTAAGTAAAAAACAAACAAAATTTGTAAAATCCTATACAACTACAACTGACTGATTCATACATTCAGAGTTTTTCATTCGTTGCCACAACGTCGCATTACAAGTCTCTCCATCTAACAGTATGTTTTGTCTCTTTTAAATTCATTCAACCCATTCATATGCTTTGTGACCTTTACAAATGAACTTTAAGTTACAGTTTTATACGTAAGGGTGTTCTAAAATTCATTGTTTTGGAAAATTTAATAACTCGGTAAATATTGATGTTTAAAGAATGTAAATGTTTAATACAATTTTAAAAATTATCCTCGATATGTGTGTTCATTTATTGTCGCCATTGTAAAGACACGCTGTATAAAAAAAAATTAGGGCTAGACCACCCTTAACATTTAGGGGGATGAAAAATAGATGTTGTCCGATTCTGCACCCTGGGTGATATGCACACAAAATTTCACGAAAATCGGTAGAGCCCTTTCGGAGGACTTCAATTACAAACTCCGTGACACGAGAATTTTATGTATTAGATTTGGTGTGTAAAATGATTCTTTAACAAATTTTACTGTAGCATTGCTGTTTTATTATAAAAGAAAAATATGACAGAACTTACCTTTTTCCCCATAGGTTTTGGATGTGTGAAGTAATATTGGCCAAAAATAATGAGGTCTCAGTGGCATACCCATTTGCTTCATTCTAGTAAACAAATCTAAGGCTAGCGGAACTTTTCCCAGCTGTAAGGCAGCCTCGCAAGCATTTTGAATTGCAATAGGGTTACGGCCAGATGACATTAATTCTTGAGCAATCAGACTAATTACACTGGATGGCTGGAAGACAGGAATTTTGATTATTTTAATTACAAACAACACAATGTTTTATGTACCCAAAATGTTTTCTGCAACATAACAATAACAACCAAGAAAAATATACCATAAATATATGTATCAGACTCAACTTCATCAAATCATCAATAGTTAGACACTATAAATTTTCACAGATGATGCATTTCTGTTGCAACAACACAAATATGTTGTTATAAGAACAAATACTAAAAAAAGAAATAAAAAACTTAAGTGGGTCTCCCATATAACACACATGTTTTTTTGCCGTTTTTATAGATTATGGTATGGAACCCTTGGTACGCAAGTCGGACCCGCACATAGCCGTTTTTTTATTTACCATCAATGTTAAATGTACACAAAAGTTCTTCACTAAAACTCACCAGTGATGCTTTGACACAATCTCTAACCAAGCTCCTTCCATGTAACCCTTGATCATCTTTAGGGCCAAATGACGGAATTGGAAGACATTTATAAATCTCTAGCGCTGCTATGGGATGGTTTTGAAACACCAAAAATGTACAAACACTTTGCATATATGGTGATATTGAAGGTGTTTTTAAAATTTCTTCAGGAAGGAATTTAAGCACCTGAAACAAAAGTGTTGACGGAAACAATTAGATTACACTAACAACTCTAATGACGTCTACAAAAAATATTAAATATTTGAAATGTAATTTAAGTTATTAAACTTTAATATTACCTTAGGTATTGTCTCATACATCCCAACTGATGCTAAAGTTTTAACAATTTTCATGATATGGGTTTCCTGAAATTGCAATCCTTTAGCTCTAGCTTTTGTCATTTCATTTAGTACCATTTCATTTTTATTTTTGAATGCATATGCCCTTGCTATGGCTGTGCATGTTTCAACTGAGTATTCAAATTTAAGAGATTTCATCATCATCAATACTTCTTGAATATTTTGTATATCACTGTAATGCAACAAAAAAACATATTAATGTAGAATTTAAATGTCATTTTAAATGCTCTATATATATTTGTTTAAATAGTTTATATTTGAAACTATTGAAATGTGTAAGAATTCTTTCTAATGCAACTCACCCAGATTTGCCCTGGCAAATAATTAAAGAATTAAATACATCTTCTGTCGCAGGTAATCCTTGAGCTTTCATGTTTGCAATAACCTCTGTTGCTTGATTTATGTCGCCACCCTTATTGAATACCATAAAATAATTACTGTATGTAGCTTTAGTTTTTTTCTAATAGCTATGTATAGATGTTGCAATAGTTTCAGTCTTTACTTTGCCAAATTCCATTGTGCAAAATATAAACGCTTTGATCTGCACTCAGGACAAAAATTTGAGCAATGTGATTGAAGGTCCATAAACGGGTGATTCAAATATCTGTGTTCTCTATGTGTATGAATTTTTGTTTGATTAATTCTCTTCCACAACAAAGGGATACTTTTTTATTAAATATTAGCAAATGAGGAAATTTGTAAAACTTAGGTACAGAATGACTTTTGTTTATGAAATTGTGAACACACTATTACTTTAACTATGTGCAAATATATTCTTAATGAATATCAGCATTGTCTAGCATTATTTAGTTAAGTAGGTTCTATATGCATAATCAAATAAAAAATTTACCTTAATTCATTCATAAAAATCCATACACATGAGAACTTAATGCCATCAGCATTGTCTAGCATTCAATGTTGGGGTGGTCCAAAGTAGTTAAGTAGAGTATGAATTGATTACAAAATTAAAAAAAAAAATCTGAATCATGAAATAATCAAATAAAAGAATTTACCATTAAATTCATATAAAAATCATATAAAAAAAAACAACTATATTACATTATTAACACACATGCCGAAGACGTGGGTTCGATTCCCACAGCGGCGACAATCTTTTCGCACTTTTTCTACATATTTTAACATATTAAAGTAACTAATAAAAATCCAATATCACAAAGTATGTGTGAAGCAAAAACTTCTATGTTGGGATGGATAGACATTTTTATTGTGAAGATAAATAAGGAGTAGAAGATTACGGGGGATATTCATTTGTAATGACTGGACTGAAGATTAAAGACTGGTTAGTGCTCTTACATAGTGGCATTGTCGAAAAGGTATCCACTAGAGTTCAGAAAAATAAACATCATTCATCTGCATTCAGGTCAGAAAAGCACACATTGCCATAGTCGATTCTGGGATTAGGTACTGCATATATTATAAAATTCATTTTAATGTCAAAAAGTGGGTCAGTCCCTTTTTTGCTTAAATAATTACCTCTCCAAGTGCTTGTAAAATAAATTCACAAGTGACAAGGTTTGGTTGTACATTTCCCATTTGTTGAATAAAGGAGCTGGCTGTTGGTGTATTGTTATTGGCAATGTACACTTGAAGTAGCTCATTGTAATGTTCAACACCAAAATCTGTGTGAGGTCTGGAACAAAATAAAGGGCAATAGCATGAAGAATTGTAGATACCGTATTAAGAAAACTCTACAGTGGATCAACAGAAATCTGTAAATAGTATGAACAGTTCTTACTTTAAAGCCACCCATACTTGTTCTAACAAAGCCATTCGAGTGGATGGAGTTTCGTCAGGAAGTAAGTCAGAACAACACTTAATGAGGAGTAATCCTTGTTTTTTAGTTGTAAAATTCAATTCTTTTACTTTATTTATTATCCTCACCAAATCATTTTTATATACTCTATTCTTTTGATGTACATCAGTTGATAATCCTGCTATTAACTTTTCAAGTAGTTCCTCCGATGACATCGAAGAATGTGGTGATTTTTGATTTCTTTCTTTGTTGTTTCTTGTAATCCCTCCAGATAAATTAATTACGTTTCTGTTTACATTTTTCTCAGAATTTTTAAAGACTGTCGTTTGAATTGACCTGAAGAAAAGTAGATTGGTTTTAGGATACAATAATTATGCTAATAAAAAAATATATAAAATAAACATAACCTGTATTGTTGTCTTTTACTGCAATCACAAACTATTGGTAATGCTATAATTTGTTTATTAGCAATTTTCTTATAAAACTTATAAGAATTTGGTATTTTAATCCAACTTCTTACTAACATTTTGAAATGTTCTCATATACTTAGTAAAACCTATAAAAAATGAAAATTTTTTGACATTGACGTCAAATTCAATCCTGAAAGAAGGCAGAACTCAGAAGAAATAGAATAGTTTTGGGTTGAGTGAATGAGTGATCTGGATTGTGATGTTGTATTTGTATACATAAAATATTTAAATACTGAAAACATTTTAATTTAATGGAAGAATTAGGTATTAGTATATACCTAATTATATAATATCCTAGTAAGTATGTAAGAATTATGAGAGACTAATTTCAATTAAATTTTACGGTCGCAAAATTATTAACCTTTGTTTTTTTTATATAAATTAACTTTTAAAACAAAAGAAGAGTCATCATGATCAGACTAGTTCACCCATAAATAAAATATTATTTTTGTACGTATGTGCGATTTTTATAACTCTTAATTCTCTAGTTTGTTCAAATAACGTTTGAAAACGTTCAGTATTATTGCTTTTATCTACATTTATTGGGCAATAATATATTTATATAGTTCCAGTATGTTATGAAAAAACGTTTAGGCAACTTTAAAATTCTTCTATTTGAAACAACTTCACTGCAGAGTGCAGTTTAATGATGTCGATCGTAGGCGGTGGTTTCATACACGTGGCGCTAGTGTTCCTGATTGTGTCTGTGGAGCTGTAATTAGTGAATACTGAATAGTGAGTGTCAACCGTGGATGTGGAATGTTTTGTATAGTGAGTGAATGGTGGTAGTAGAAATCGTAGCAATCTGTAAATGTCATGCGGTAAGTTTACTTTGCCACTTTTTAATTAATTATAAATGTTTATATAAACCTTAATACAACATTTTTAGTATATAGGCTTAGGCTACTATTTTATAAGCGGCTGCCGTCGGCCGTTGGTGGACCGCCATCGCCCAAGCTCGTTGACGAGCGGTAGGCAGTTAGGCACCGCCTTTCCTATCGAAAGTGACATTATATGGATAAATTTCCTTGATTTTACTCAAAAATTTTATTATTTTTGAGTTCGTATAAGTTGAAATGTGGCCTAACCTTGCAGAAATCTGACTCCCGTAATTCAACAACCAGTTTTCAAGCAATTTTAGTAATAATATTGTTACCGCCTTCTTGCCGATGATTCATGACAAACTTTATTATGTTTTTACTATTGATAGTAAGTTTCTGATGTGTTTTCTGTGCCTGCTTATGTATATAGTTTGTATGTCCATCTATTAGAATCTAAAAAAAATATTTAAAGGGAATCATTTGTTTTCATGGTAGGTATATTATTTATAATTATTTTTTGCTTCTCGCTCGGGTTTTTTAATTATAACTTGATTTTGCACTAATCACACGTAAGGAAGAAATTCCAATGTTTTGTTAAGTTGTAGAGGTTAAATTTAATACCTTTAATAAACACCCTAAATATTTACACACACTTAGGGAAAGTATGACATCTAACCGTTACAAATGGAATTACTATTTAAACATATTCTTTTTTACTATAATAGTTAATGTTAGAGTTTATTGTGACCTCTTTTATAGGTATTTTAACTTGAATGCTTGCATAATTTTTCTTTAAATATTTGTCAATTAAGAATTAAGTTAATCTAAACAAAGTATAGAAAGTAGTAATTTCTTTGAGAGTTTTTATGCATTACACTATAGTTGATATACATAGTTTTTGTTTTAAAATATAATAATTTATATTCTTTTATTACAAAACTACATTCCTAAACAACCATATATTTATATAATGAAATTAAATGCCTATGATACAAACCTTAGTAAGTACAGTTAATTTGATATGTTTAATAATAATTGGCTTAGAATCATATTTACAAACATACCCTGATCTAAAAATAAATATTTTAGTTAGGTACATAATGTGACTAAATGAAAACAATATTTTTTGTGTTAGTATATATAGTGTTTTTTTATTTATTTTACTTGAACATTATTTACACCATTTTCATTTATTAATTTAAATTCATCTTTACAATAGATTTTATATATATTTCTGTTATCTTGGTATATCTATTTTTCTGTTATATGTCATAAAGTTTTATTAAAGTTTTTATATTGTCTTCATATCTACCGTAAAAATCCTTATTAGAATTTAACATTATTAATTTGTCAATATTCAATAATTGCTAACTATGACCCTTTATGTCAATATTTGCTAACTATGACCCTTTTATTTTATTAAGTCAAGTGCCTTATGTTAGGTTTTGGTTATAAAGGATCTCCTCCTAAAAGCGCTATATTTTTATATGCTCATCATAGCATATCTAGTTGATCATACTGCTTTGTTTAAGTAACTAGGCAGCTCTTATTTACACATAGGTACATTTTGATGCTTTTGACTTCTTAATGCTGTTAAAAATATAATAAGGAATTTAAACACACAAACAATTTTAAATACTTTACTTATTTTTTAGTTTTAACCTAGTTCTATGATACTTATCATTATTTTGAGATAAATGAGAATGTTTCTTACATTACATTAGTAAAATTAAAGAGGATATGCAGCTTAATATGCATAATGGCATGACACATAGTCAAATATTTCAAACTCACAAAGCCATTAGTGATAAAAAAACCAATGTTAACATGTTCTTATCAGCTTATTAGTTTAATGATAGGCACCTTTCTAGGGTACTGCCACATATTAAATAGTTTATCCAACCAAGCCAACTAAGACTTATTGTCTTATGGTATAAAGGCACAATAGAATTTGACTGTGTCATATTTTCTTTAAATGTAAATTATACACGAAATGAGATAAAAAAAAAGTCATATTTTTAATATGTAAGTTAAGTATTTAATAATAATGAATTAAGAACATATTGAAATGTTGTTGTGATTAGATTTTATTTTGGTAAAAATGTTTTCCTCCTACAGAATACTGTTAAAGCCTAGGAACAAAACCTTCTTGATTCTAATTGTTATCTATTAAAACCAAAAATTTAAATTAGATTTGTCGTATTGACCCTTCTCAATTCTCCTCAGAAGTCTTCTTGGTTTATTGAATAACAAGACAAATATCGCTCTCCAGTTTCAAACTTCCGAATTCATATATACTGTGCACATGATGTGGTAGAAAGTCAATGTTCTTATATAAAAAAAAAAAAAAAAAACAATTGATGCGCATATACCGTGCCGATAAATTATCACCTCATTAATGTTGTGGCCTCATTTAAATCTCTAGCGTAAAGGAAAACGTGTGAATTAATTTATGCTATATATACACCATATAGAGATGTATATAGAGAACATCATCTAATCGATATTATTCGTTTTTCACTCATCACTTGCGTCGCGCAGTCTGTTTTTTTTTTTGCGGCTAGCGTCTCGCCACAACACCGAAAAAACACCTTAGGTGCAATTTTTTACGCCCATGAACGTTTAGCTTTTGGCTACTTTGCTTTTTTGCTGTTGCATCAATAGCGTGAACTTATCTCTGTAGTTGACAAAGGCACCAGTCAAAATTGTGGGAAAAACGTATTTAATCAACGTTGACACTTGTGCGGCAAAAATTTGAGACGACCGAGGTAAAAGCGAAACGGGAAGATGATTTCTGAGAGATAGAATATTTCATTCAGTTAAGTTATCACGAGCTCCCCTCATTGGATATTAATACTTTGCACGAGAGCGTGAATAAATAGCTCGAAATTGTGCCCTTTACCCCAATATCAAGAAACACCGTGATAGCTCAGTTCCCGGTCGCTCGTTTTTAATTCAATATACTCAATCAATTAAAAGTTCAATTCTCGGTGTCGGCATCAATGAAATTGTCAATTGCAATTTTAGTTCTGACTTAATGCATGCTCAGCTGTGACGGAAAACATCGCGAGGAAACCTGCATATTTTCGAAATTCATAATAAGAAAAAATATATCGTAGGACGCAATGGAGTCGCGTGTACTATTTAGCAATTACCCTTTAATATAGAGGTCTTTGCCCAACAGTAGGACATATATTGTGCTGTTACCGTTACCTCAATAATCACAGCGAAACAGCCGTTCACAGCACCGGGCTTCTTAATTTCTGTTCAGAGTTGTTCCCTTTGGCATGAAGCGTATCTGTGTGCCAAGCGCGTAGCTCCGACGGTTTAGGCATGTGGCATGCGCGTGGTTAGGTTTGTCATGCAAGGCGGTACGTTCGCGGCGGATGGCAACCGATCTGCGATACCGAAGCACAATGCACAGGCGTCCGCCGATATCTGCGTATGACTACCAAAAAGCAAATATAACAATATTTAAGAGGTAAGTTAGGTAATAGCTACTAACATTATATTTCTTACTATTTTTATTAAGTTATTTTGTTATAATTATTACTTTTTAGAAATGTTATATTTTGAGGGTTAGTGAATTTCTTGTTGAAATAAATTGTTTAAAAATTCGCGGCGCTGCGGCATTTGAACCCTGTATCTTCCGGGTAACTCGCTCAGAGGCATAGCGATATTCTCATCTCGCGAAATTCTCGGCCTCTATCAACATTCTATACATCATTTTTTATTTAGTAATGATCGGTGCCATTGTAGCATGTGCATACTTTACAGCGTGCCGACACTATACAATAAACATTTCTACGATTCTAGGGGCGTTTTGACAAATATTTATTACACAAATACTCTCTGAGCAGGGCGAAATAATTATATCTGTAGATCATTCACATATCACATGTCTCAAGCGGGAATTGAACCCATGATCCGCGGCGATACGTCTAATGCTCGACTGTACTAGTGGCGCCATCAAAGTTTAAAGACAAACACCGTGCACCCTAACTTTCTTATAAACACAATTTCAAATATTCGATTTGCTATGGATTAAAAAGCCAATTTAAAAACAAAACCGTCCTTTTTGATGAAATACATAGTTCCCTGATGTATCTGCGGAAAAAGGCCCAATATGGCCTGACGGGAGCTAAAGCGAACCCATCGCAAAAAGAACTTTTGAAATCGGTTTATGAATGATGCAGTTCTGAGGTAACAAACATAAAATTATAGCGGAATCGAGA